AGGGGTGGCGGGGGGTGGTCTCAGTCATGCAGAGTTTGAGCTCTCTGAGAGACATCCAAGTGCTCAGTGGATAGCTGGATATAATGACATGGAACTCAGGGGAAGGTCTGGTCTGGAGATAAGACTTTGGGATTTGTTGACACGTGGACAATGCCCACAGAGGTCAGGTAGGTAATATCAGTGAGAGAACTGGGCCAGCTGAGGTGAACAAGGGGGCCAGTTGTCACTTAGCTCGTAGGGGTTGTTGTCATGTGGGAATGAGGGCCAGGTGTAGCAGGTCCTGCAACTAAAAAAAATAAAAGTAAAGGAAGGCCACATAACAAATGGATAAGGCGCCACACAGGGTTCCAATTCTGACGCACCACTTACTGCTGTGTGACCTTGATCAAGGTACATCGTCTCCTTGTGCCTCAACTCCCCCGATGGTAAAATAGGAATAATAATGGTACATACCTTGTGGGGTTGTTTGGGGATTAAATGGTTTAACCTTTGTAAAGCACTTAGGACAGTGTGTTGCTTTTGTATAAGCATTAATACTTGTTAAATAATCAATAAATGATAGATAAATGAGTCAATACTGTTGTGAAGCGAAATGAACAGAGGGTATAAGATGGAGCCCCAAGGAGTATTAATATTTAAAGGAGCATTGAGCAGACAGAGCAGTAGCAAACCAGAAGCGGGGTATCCTAGAGCCAAGGCGTATGAGTATTTCTAGACAACAAGGTTAGTCTGTGTTGTCAGACATGGCAGAGAGATCAGGTAATATAAAGACCAAAGCGTCAGTTGACTCTGGCAGCAGTACCCCTAATCCTCACAGAATTCCTGCAAGGCAGGTATTATTTTATTGATGAGGAAACCAAGGTTTATGGAGGTTATGCAGATAAGCTAACTCATGCAGCTGGACAGTGGGGGAGATGGGATGGTATCCAGATGGGTCAGATTCTGGAGCCCATGATCTATGTCCTGCTTCTGGAAGAGTTAACAAAGAATTTTACCCAGGTTTCTGGAGAGCAGTAGGGTTGGTTTACTTTCCTTGCTTATAAGCAGAGGATATGGTTTTCTCTATGTCCTTCTGAAATAGCCTGTGCTTTCTCATTCCTTCTTGAGATGGATGACCTGGGATTTATGTCATTATCAAGAGGATGTCTTATATATCATCAGATGTAAGAGCAGAGCTTTTCTCTGTTCCAAACCTGGCTTTTTAGGTAAATGGGCCCAGTAACTTCAGTCATCTCAAAAGGAAAGGTTTGCCTCGAGGTTTCGAGAATTTGGATATCAATACACGATAAGTCCCTACATATGAACGAGTTCCATTCCGAGAGCGCGTTCGTAAGTCCAATTTGTTTCTTAAGTCCAACAAAATTAGCTTAGGTACCCAACTAATACAATCAGCTATATAATACTGTACTGGAATAGATTTATAATACTTTTTACACAAATAATACATAAAAAAACAAACACAAAAAATAAAGAAAACATTTTAAATCTTACAGTGCAGTACCTTGAAAAGTACAGCAGTACAGTACAACAGCTGGCATACAGAGGCTGGCGTGGAGTGAACAGACAAGAAGAGTTACTGACTGGAGGAGGGAGAGGGGGTGGCAGATGGTAGAGCTGAAGCTGCAATTTCACTCACGCCTGATGTTGATGGCATTGGTTCTGGTTCCTTGCTGGATTCAGTTCTATCTACCCTCTTGAAAAAACGATCCAGTGATGTCTGGGTAGCAGCTCTCATCCTCTTCCCGTATCTCCAGTAAGGATACTGTACTACTGTACTCTATACAGTACTGTACAGTAAAGTACACAAAAGCACAACCACATGTAGAGGAGGCATGCACGTGACAATGTATGCCAGACGCATGAACTAACTTACGTGACTGTACGTGCGAACGCACGTTCGCATCTTTGAAAGTTCGCAACTTGAAGGTTCATATGTAGGGGACTTGGTGTAATGCTGAACTGATTCCTTTTTCACTCAGAGCAGCAAGTTGTTTAAGGAGAAAAGAATGAAAATGTGCCTGGTGGAAAAACCAGGACTGTGTGATGTCATGGGAGTTAGTCAGAAATCGGGAACACAGTGTACTGTCCCCAGAGTCCTGTTGTCCCTACATGGGTCACCCAGACCTGGCGGAACCAGGCTCCTTGCCCATTTCCGCATCTGGCCCCTGGGGGAGCTTAATCGACATAAAGAGAGGGTTAACCATTAAAATCTGGGGCTGTCTTTTTTCACCTGGTTGAGAATAAATAGCGCGAAGCAACTCTTTTTCAAGAGCAAATTTTGGATTATCTGGGTGAAAACCTCAGCGTTTAAAATGACTCTCAAAAACAAGCATCCAACTTTTGCTGTTTTGTTTCATCAATGATAACATCTCTTCCTGGACTACAGTGAACATCCCTACCGGGGCCGTATGCCTACGCTGGGGTACACGTTCCTCATTCTTTAATGTTGGGTTAATAGTTTAGCAGTGCTGAGATCCCCAAAGTGAATGAGGACCCCATGAAGAAAATGAGTAGCTTTATTTTAGGAAATCAGTGATCAAAAGCTTAATGTTTACAGCAGCATGGTGTTTAATGTTTTCCCACGTTTTTTCAGAGGCTGCTTGGATGGATTACAGTTATTTGTGCCCAACCCCCACCTAGAGCCCCTTCCAGTGTTCCCGCTTGTAGAGAACAGCGCCACCTGGGGGTGGACCCGGTTTGCGTGGGATCTGAAGCTTGTAAGAATTGGGGGACTTTTTGAAATGAAAAAGAAAAAGAGAGTATAAAATTAGGTACAGAAAAATGAGTGCTCATTTAGAATGAAAAACGAATGTGGGTAGGAGCCCATGCAGTGCAGGGTCCTGAAGCTTCAGCTTTGTTAGCTCCACGCTAAGTGGGCCCTTAGAGCCCACTACAAATGAGGCAATTCTGCAGATCCTGGTCTACAAACGAGGCGCCTTCATATCTGGTGACTTCTCCAGCTGAATCTCTAACCAACTGCCTTCCCTTCCTGCCATCCTGCTGCACTGACCTCCCTGGCAAATCCTGCTCTTTCACCCCCTTGTGTAAGCTTTGTGTAACCAAGGCTCCTTTCCTTCAAAGTTTCATCGTGTCTGTGATTTAAATATTTTTGCATTAATATTTGTCCAGCTAAGGATTCTAAAAAAATCCGTGAGACCTAGGACTGTGTCTATGTTGTGTTATATTTTGCTCATGGTTCTAGTACCAAGGCTTATTAGCTAAGTGCCTGGTCCCTAGTTGGAACCCAAATACTTATTGAATGAATGAATGAATTTGTGAAGAAGGATGCTAGATAAGAATAGATTTGTGGGTTTTGTGCCCCAAAGAAAAATTCCACTGGGTAAGGCCAGCTTAAGGGTATTTGGGTCAACTGTGGTCAAGATGAGGATTGTCAGTAGCAGAGCCTGCTCTTACGTTTGAAAAATTTGTTCAAGCTTTGCCATTCAAAATCTCACCTTGAAGAGGCTGACGTCAGCCTTGCGTTCAGCCTGTAGAAACCTTTGGGAGCCTTGGGACTTCCCTGGGGGTGCACTGGATAAGACTCTGTGCTCCCAATGCAGGGGGCTGGGTTTGATCCCTGGTCAGGGAACTAGATCCTACATGCATGCCGCAACTAAGAGTTCACATGCCACAACTAAGGAGCCTGTGAGCAACAACTAAGGAGCCCACCTGTGGCAACTACGACCCAGTGCAACCAAATAAATAAATATTTTTTAAAAAAGAGAAACTTTTGGGAGCCTTGAACGGCAGCACTCCAGGCTCCATATGCACATGTAGATACAAGAAACATACTTTGAATCAAGCAAGTGATTCTGGGAACAGTCCTTATTTGGGACCTATAGCTCTGTTCCCCTCACTAGGTGGGAATTGGCTTCTTCACTCCACTACTTTAAATTACAGGTGGTTGTGCTCTAATGTGATATACACTTTCCTATAAAACCTTCCTTTCAGCAAGGATTGAGCTGAAAGGAGAGCAGGGAGAGCTACTGTCCCTTTGCAGGAGGGTGGCTTTTGGTGGGTGCAGGAGTAGGCCCAGCTGGGAGGGGTTGGCATGCGAGGGGAGCTGAGACTAGGCCCTCTGCTTTTCAAGGTCACCTGGTCCTCCTAACCGCCCCAATACAGGCCAAGTCATCCTCTGCCTCCATGCTTGACTCATGCTGTACCCAAAACAGTCCAGGATGTTCTTCTAGAGTCACCTCCTGATCACGTCCCACCAGCCAAGTTCAAGCTCTAGCTTTTCCTTGCTTGGCTGTGCCCACGCATATTAAATTTGATCTTCTCGGAGGTCCAATAGTCATGCAGAGTAATCTCCTCCCATGATTTTGAACCGTGTCCTGCCTTGTGTTAGGTAACCCTCTCATGTCTCATGTGTTCCCGACTACTCTGTAGATGCCTCGAAGCCAGGGAACATGCTGTACTTCTTTGGTGTCCCAACAGTATCACACACACCATGTTTGACTCATTCAGGCTTGATACCTCATTCTTTCATTCCATGACTGGTTCACTAAATAACAGTTGCTGGGTCAGTGGCAAGGGGAGCAGAAATAAAAGCTGCAGTTCTTTCCCTCCTAGAATCTCCCAGTCTGGTGGAAGAACCCTTCGTGACTGGGCGCTTAATTGGTGATTTTCTCAGCTCGGAGTGACCTTGAAGGAACTGGGCATGGGGCAGATGAACTAGGTTCCCAGTTTCTCCTGAGTCCCATCTTTCATTTTGAGTGGATTCTTTAAACTTTGGGAACATGCTCATAGCATCAATTACAAATGTAAATTCTGAATTCAAATATGAGAGAAGAATGGGAGCCCATAAATGCAGTTATTCAAAGTTCATTATGCTCAGACACTGTGGTGCTAAATTAGGTAAGAATACGAGTGCTGTGCTTGTTTTATATGTGGAGGTGACTGTTTTATGATGGAAGTCATTAACAGACAAGGCCTTTATTAAACCTTATGACAACAATGTGCCGTTAACGTAACCAAGTGTTCCGCTTCTTCATGTTTAGGAAATTATACAGTTTTGGCTCTCAAAGGGTGTCGATGGCTTTAGCTTCGATGCTGTTCAATTTCTTCTAGAAGCAAAGCATCTGAGAGACGAGTCCCAAGTGAATAAGACCCAAATCCCGGTAAAGTTTTAAACATATACGTATATATGTTTTAAAAATATGTTTTAAAATAAACATATTTATATATTTAAAAATGTTATATATGTATATATTTTCTTTCCTGAAAATGTCATCAGAGTGTTGTCTTTTTTAGCCTGAGACACCACTTACCAGAGGGAAGTGTTTTGAATCATTTTCTTTAGAAAATACAGGAGTTTCAAATGCATGTGACCAGCTATTTCCTTCCACTGCTTCCTCCTGAGTGATCCCTACAGGAGTCCCTCGAAGACGAGGTTTCTGGAGCGCATGGACAGTGTGGACTCCACCGAAGGCCATAACTTACTCACTGTGATTTTGTCAATCACTCAAGCTCAGGGGAGGCGGCCTAAATTCCCCAAGTGCTTTTGTAGTCATTAAAGGACACATAGGTAGAAGGGAAGGGAACTAACACTTGCTGAGCGTCAGTTGTATGCTATTTGTTGTATCCATTTAACTCTCTCAACATCTTGTGAGGTTTCATGATCCCCATTTAGCAAATCTTAAAGAAATTAATTTATCAGGGTGACAGAGGTGATAGACAGAATTCCATCCAAGCCTGCTGCAGAATTTGGGCTCTTTGTGCTTCCACACCAGTGGTTCTCAACCTTCCTCCCATGGCACACGTGAGAGTAATAATCCCATGCCCCCCTCACCCCTCTAGTTGACCAGCATTCTACAGTCTCTCTGTTTTCAATGGCCAAGTAGACAGTAGTCCTAAAATGCATTCCAAAATAACGGATTTGTACATTTACACAATGAAATGTCAAAATAAATGAATTATAGTGACACAGCAATATGGGTCAATCTTAGTAACATAACGTGTAGCAAAAAAATCTAAAATTATTATATAGCATGATGCCCTTTTTAGAAAGTAAAATTAAATTCATATGGTCACCAGCTTGATAGTCCTGTCAGAGTAACAAAGGGAAGCTGGCCATGCATGGGCTAATTATGAGACCATGTCATGAACCAAAGTTTATGATTAAGCTTGTTTTTTTTTTTGGCACATGATTTCCAGTAGAAAGGAAAAATGAAGGGGAAAAAAGGTTGTGTATTAGCCAGTTGTCCCAAAGAGAAGCACTTATCCTTGGAGGAGAAGAAATCTCAAAATAACCTTGCTAATTATAATAAGATGTCCTAAGACAGGCATATGTTTCCAGTCAAGACAAATGATCAGAACAATGGGTTTTGTGTGCTACCTAAGAAAAACTTAAATAACATGTAATTTCCGGAAGACATCTAAGATTTCAAAAAACTTCCCTTGATTTAGCAAGGGAAAATCACTTATAAAAAAGGGGTCCACTGAATGGATAGCAACTCATGGACTCTCTAGCCTGTCCACGTCCTAACCCAGGACTTACAAACTGAGCCTGTATTAGACATAATCTTTTACTTTGATTCCAGAAGATTACTGTAACCCTAGGAAGGCAGAGAATGAGTATCACAAAAAATTACTAAAACCCTGAAAAAGTATAACGGTAAGAATAAAGGACAGAAATGGTAAAGAAACAAATTTAAATGCATGATATTAATAGTTTTGTAAGCAGATAATGTAATAATACACTCTATAATTAAGATAATTTGTTTGCCTTTAAAAACGTCTGCTGTATTTGGGACAATAAAATGTTTAGGAGGATTTTATTAAATACATTTGTAATCAGTCTTTAGGTGTTTGGTAAAATTTAACTTGTTTACTAGATTTATAGTTAATAATTTATACACAAAATGAAACACTAATAGTTTCTAATGTTCTTTCCATCCACAAATTCCCATGAGCAGCAGAAGTCCTAGGACCATCTTTGAGTGTGTGTGTCTTGGCTTGAGCCCTTTGAAGAGACAGTCCATATTCACATGAGGCCAGCTATGGGCATTTGACATTTGTCATGATGGTAACCATGCTGTCCTGTTTTCAAAGGACACAGTCACTCACTACTCGGAGCTGTACCATGACTTCACCACCACACAGGTGGGAATGCACGACATTGTCCGCAGCTTCCGGCAGACAATGGACCAGTACAGCAGGGAGCCTGGGAGATACAGGTAACCATGGGCACAGTGTGTGATCTGCACTTTATCCCTCACAACCAAGCATCCTTAAGAGATTCAGTTATAATTTAATAAACTGCATAATTACAATGTATCATAACTCAGTTATGCTAGGGCCTGGTATAGTCTCTCACGTTCCTTAACTTTGCTGATTTTGTTTCCTCTTTTGTAAAATGAAGCAAATCCCACAGTACTTATTCACAGGAATTTGGTGAAGATTAATTAAAAGATAATATATTATCCAAAGGTTAGTCATTAACCATTACTATTTTTTATCATTATTTGACCTGTTAGCATGCAAATGTTCCAACTAAACTGTTAGCTGTTAGGTTAGTTAACATGTCTCAGTTTTCTCAACAATTAAAAAGTGATGATGACACCCCCATAAGGTTGTTGTGAGATTACATGAGATAATGTCTGTGAAGCACTTAAAACAATGCCTGGCACATAATAAACACTCAATGAATTTAACTCTTATTGTGTTTATATAGATTACCCAATAGAATCAATGGAAAAGGAGTTCAAGAAATTTCTTCTCCTTAAAGTAGGTCCTCTGATCACTATTCCCACTTTACAGATGAGGAGACTGAGACTCTGAGCATGCAGGTAATGGTCACATAGGTAGTGGCCACAGAGATGGGACTGGAACTGAAACACGTGAGCTCCAGATACTATGTAACTTATCCATTAATGTAATGTCTCAGACAGCTAAAACCAGCATTGATGTGGGTCATTTCAGGCTAATATGTCTTCCCTGAAGAGTGTTTGGTTTTCAACAACTGAGAGTGCACCCCAATAATAAAGTGAGACTTTATAGGGATTCCAATACAAGGGGAATTTTGGGGGAACCCCTCTTACCCTTATGTACAGACATATACTGTACATTCTAAGTGGAGTGATGAGAATTGCTAAATAAAGTCTTCCTGAAAGTTACTGAGTTTCATTCAGAGTTAGAAAGAAAAGAACAGTATTGACTGAGATCCAAATGTGTTTCTTTTAGACATGGCTTAGTATTAAGCTAGTCTTTGGGTTTAATATGAGAAATTGCCAGGTGACCCAGTGTGCCATTTCTTAGTCATCTGGCTTGATTCTGCTTCCTAGTGAGCCCTAGCCAATACGGTTAATAGTATGCCTTCACCTCCCAACATCCTGTCCATGAGACACAGCAGCTGCGAAGCGCTTTCCCAGTCTCCTGACAGGCCCTGATGTCACTGCACTGCCAACTCTTACAGGTTCATGGGGACTGAAGCCCATGGAGAGAACATTGCCAAGACCATGATGTACTACGGTCTGCCTTTTATCCAAGAAGCAGATTTTCCCTTCAACAGTTACCTCGGTAAACTAGACATGCCTTCTGGGAACAGTGTGTTTGAGGTTATCAAATCCTGGATGGAAAACATGCCAGAAGGAAAATGGCCTAATTGGATGGTAAGTCCTCATGCCCAGCTCAGCATACGGTGCTGGTGTGCTTGCTGAATAGTCCTTTGAAACAAGGGGCACATTTGTCTCTTAAGTGACCTTCACCTTTCCTTCATTTTGTGATTTAGTGAGCCAGATGCATCCCAGCTCCTGACCAGGTTCCTGTCATTCTTCATTCTTTTCCTTCTTGTTCTGAGACTAGATAATTTCAACTGGTCTGTCTCATTTGCTGATTCCTTGGCCAGTTCAAATCTGTCCAGCCCATCTAGGGAACTTTTCACTTCCTTTATTGTATTTTTCAACTGTAATTTTTTTCATAATTTCTCTTTATTGACAGTATCTATTTGATAAGGCATTGTTCGCATACTTTTAAAGAATCCTGTAGATATTGTTTAGGTTTTTGAACACGTGTATAAGAGCTGATTTAAAGTCATTGTCCACTAAGTCCAATGTTTGGGTTTCCTCAGCCAAGTTTTCTGTTGATGCTTTTCCCCCCCTCTGTATGGGCCATAACTTTCCTGGTTCTCTGCATGTCTTGTATTCTTTTTTGTTGTTGTTGAACACTGGATATTTTAAATAGTAAGTGTAGAAATTTTGGAAATCACATTCTCCCCTCTCCAGTGTTTGTTTCTTCAGTGACTTTCTTGGATTAACTCTGTAAAATCTGTGTTACTTGTTGTGTGTGACCACTAAAGTCTCTGCTTGGTCAGCTAGTGATTGTTAAGATTCCTTAGATGCCTTGAACCTGTAAGTCTCCCAGCCTTTGCTGAGGGGCTGTGTGCGGGGTGGGCATGCTTTCAACACTTTGGCAGGCAGCTTACAGCTCCGCCTTAGTCTTTCCTTTCTGCTTGAGTTTCAGGGTTAGCCAGAGGGGAGAGATTCGATTCTTGGGGCTTCTCTGGCTACCTGTGCAGCCCTGTGCATGTGTGTAGGCTTCTAGATTCCAGGAAAATGTCAGAGCCTTTCAAAGCCCTTTATGGTCATCTTATTCCTAACTTTAAAGTGTTTTGGTCAGTCTGTTTAGTCCAGGTTGGTAACACCACCTCAGGCAAGTATTGATAATCAATTGCTGCTGATTGTTTTTGGCAAATGCCTTGGGGATAAGACAATCTGCACAGTTAGCTTTGAGTCAGATCAGATAAAGAAAAAACCCAACCAAAAGTGAGCTGCTAGAAAGGTCAAACAGTGCCAGTTCTCTAGAGATGGAGCTTTTGATGAACTCAAAACCTATTTTGGTCCTTCACTGGCTACTAGGCTGCTGGTTTTTACATTTTGTTGGTTTTCAAGGCTATCTTGAATCTGAGGGGAGGGGCATGAGATTATGACCAGTTAAAATGATACAAAGCTTGCTGTTCTGAGATCCAGCTGTTTTTCTTGAACACTCCTTGTATTGTTGTAAGCCTTTCATTTCCAAGTTCTGAAAAAGTGGATTTTTACAGTTTTTGCCAGCATCCTCCTTGCTTTCATGCTAGAGATTTTTGGAGGTCCTTACTCCACCATTCCAGAAGTACCCCCTGTCTATACAAATTTTATAATGTAGTTGTAGCACGTTTTTTTCATATACTCAAAGTCTCGTATCATAGGCAACTGGATCTCAGCCTGTGAGAGGCCCTGATCTCTGTCCAATGCTAATCTTGATTTCAGTTCTGAGAAAGAAAAGTGATCTAGGTTCAGAAGACTTGAGAAATCACAGGGTTTCTTGTCAGATGCTTTTGAGATAATGAAAAGAATAAACGGTGGAAAAGTTTGACCTAATTTTCTGGCCAGAAAAATAGAAAAATACAATGGTCTATAAAAAGATAATTGTAAAGACAGTTTTAGTAAATCTAAAGAATAAAAAAAGCAAAGCTCCCTTTTTCCTGAATTCTAACAACCAAGTTCATATTCTCAGACTCAAGTTCAAAGGCTGGTTCTGCCTCATGACCTTGACCTGAATGAATGATGCAGTCTCTCAGAGCTTGTTTCATCATTTGTAAAATGGAAAGGTTAGGTGATTTAAATAAACTCTTAAGGACTAGATGTTAAAATATGTAATCAGAACATTTAACAAAGAAATATATTAAAAAATACAAAGTCCTGTACAAAATTTCTTCTTAGACTGTAAATGTTTTTGTAAAAGTCGACTTACCTTTTAACTTAAAATTTCTTTTGAATAGTTCAAAAATCACACACACACAAAGGGACAGATCAGAAGTCTTTCACCCCGGTCCCCTCCACCTGTTCCCTCCTTGGAGGAAACACTTGTTTCCTTTCCTGTCAATATTCTCTTATCCAAATGTGCAAAAATATTAGTATGTACCCTCATACATTTCATCTTATTTGCAATATGAATGTGAAGTAAGCTGTTATCACCATTTTGTTGATCATAATGGCCAAGTCAGATGGTCAATTGTACAGCAAGGAACTGGGTTAGGACTCAAATGCAGGCTTGCTGATATGAAGGTACCCATGGTTAACCATGTTTTTCTGCCTGGTGGACTTTTTGTGAAATAGGGTAAATCTTTCAGAAAACTCTGTATAGAGCTGTGCTCTTAAAGTATCTGCCTTTCAGACTGGCGGACCAGACAATGACCGGCTGACTTCTCGTCTGGGGAAACAATATGTCAACATCATGAACATGCTTGTGTTCACACTGCCTGGAACTCCCATAACTTACTACGGGGAAGAAATAGGAATGAGAAATATATTAGCCACAGATCTCAATGAAACCTATGATGTTGTAAGTTAATATAACTTAACCATGCACCACACCAAATCCTCATTTTTTGCCAAATCAGAAAATTTACTATTTCTATTCTGCTGCTGAAAATCATGATTACTTAGCTTTTGTTTCTCACTGTTTGTTAGGCAGTGAGAATTTTTCAGCTTTCTTGATTGGGGAGCTTGTTAAAAATGCTGCTTGCTGAATTTCTTGTGTAGAGCCCAGGATCTGCATTTCAAAGATGTTTTCCAGCTGATTCTCAGGTGCACTAAAATTTAAGAAGCCATGTTTTGAGTTTCGAATGCCCTCTACCTGAAACATGGAGTTAAGAACATTTATTATAGTGCTTGTCCGTATTGCTAGATCTCGCTTGGCCATAACATAAAAGGAAGAATCTTTGTGCTAACAAATGTAATGGACAGCCTTAGGCCTGAGAAATTTAAATTTTGTTTTTTGTTTGAGGCTATGGATCTCACAATTGTGTTGCTGGACAGATGAAAGACCTTGAAGCTATAATTTGTATGGTTAGCTTTCAATGGTGAGATCCAATTTCCCTAATATTTAGTCACAATGAAACCTTTTCTATTTAAGCTCCTAAATTTGTGTGTGCACTCATGCGATAACCAGGCTAAAAAGGATATAATCTAGGCTCACCTGTACATGGCTGCATGCCTGAATTCACCGATCACTGTATCACATTATAATGAGTTTGTAAATGGCACATTTTGAAATGCTACATCACTCATTTTTAGGGAAAAGCAGCAAAGATTCCAAGCATGTGTCAATGTTCAGTTAGTAGTTTATTCACACTCAAGATGTCATTAACTGTTTTCCAAGTGAAAGTGTAAAACTGGTTTATGTACTGAATATTAAGGCCTTTTCCTTATGAATGCTAATGAATTTGAGTGCTAGCTGAGAAATATAGGGAATTAAATACTTCTGAAGTAAATCATGGCCAAATTACATTTCTTTTAATAACCAGATCACTGTTTTTTTCTTTATGGTCTTTTGACATAGGATACTCTTCTCTCAAAGTCACCAATGCAGTGGGACAATAGCTCAAATGCTGGTTTTTCTGAAGGCAATCACACCTGGTTACCCACCAGTTCAGATTACCACACTGTGAATGTTGATGTAAGTATCAATGAAAATTTCATGCTAACTCCAGAACAGGAAATTAGTTCGTGTTGCTGACAACATACACTCACCCTGAGTTGTCTAAAACCTTAACTGATGCTCTTTAAATCAATCACATAGACTTCTTTTGCAGTTTTCATTCTTAAGGAGTTTGTAAATCATGTTTTTGTGGAAATACAAACTGGTGCAGAAGTGTACCATCTGAAGTATCATACAGAATACACAACTCTTCATTGTTATGACTTTGAGCTATGAAATATTAAGAACATTTTATGGAGGGCTTCCAGCAAGCCTGCTATCCTTTCTCCATTCCACCCCTCCAAAGGAAGGATAAAGTAGGAGGTCAATCAATCAATCAATCTAGGGTAAGATTCTTGAGAGCAAGGCTGTTTACCTACAGAAACTGAAGCATGAATAATCCCTAAAAGTAGCTGTTCTGGAAAAGCATACCCTTCAGCTTTTGCCTATACTATTTTCTGTTCTCATGGTGATCAACTTAGCCAAGTTCAGCAAACAAATTTCTTAAACAGGAATGCATTAATTCCAGCAAAGCGCTAAACACTTTTCCTTAGGCCAGAAAAATGTAAAATGGCTTCAGGTGAGTTTCAGGTGTTTTCACTGGAAAACACAATTAAACTACTTAAGGGGGAGAGAAATTACTGGCATCACATGAGGATACAAGTTTTATAGCATCTACTAAGTATTTTGAAAACACTCCCCAGATTATTCTGATACAGAACTTCAGGCAAACCCTCCTGGTTCCCACATCTCCCTGATCCAAGCACCCCAGGGATAACTTTGTTTTATATGGTCATAGGTCCTTGAAACACAAAAATTGTATATTAACATTTGTGTTTTGGATTAAGTGCACTTACTTTCATTACGTCCAAATGTCCAAAATATTCCCATAGGCCAATTTGAATCCAATATGTAAGAAATCCTACATAAAAAAGTACAGCAGCAAAGATGGAAAAATGTAAATGCAAAGTAAAATAATGGTCAGATTAGTCAAGTCGTTAAAATGATCATGAGTAGTGCTTGGAGGGATGCTAAATCATAATCAAATAACCGAAAGTCCCAGGCAATGCCCTTTTAATAAAACACCTCCATAATCGCTCTAGAACAAGGTGAAATTTAGGTACTTTCTAGAAGATAGAGAGTAAAATTAAGATTACAAAGAAACAAGAGCATAGAAACCATAATCTAAAATACACAGGAGAAAACAGCACTGACAGGTACAGGTGAGAGCACTGCAGGAATTCATCCACCGCTGCACTTGGCTGCCCCAGAATTTGCCTGAGGAAAAAACTCAGGGCCTGTCTGGTGATCATACTCGTGTTGGATGAGTAGAGCAAAGCTTGAAATAGTGTTAAACTTCTACAAGCACAGTCGAAGAAAGAAACGGAGAAGAAAACCTAATTCCCTGGGATGATTCACTGAGGAATGATCTCCAAAGTAAGAGTTTTTACTCCTCAGTTCACAGAGGCCTTAAGAGGAGGGTAGCTGGTCACCATTAAACAGGAAAAGAACCCCTACACCCCAAAGACAAACCAGACCTACCTCCAAGTTGGCTTCTCACAGTTAGTAGAGGCAGGCAACTGAAGACAGGCAAACAAGGAGTATCAAATACAAAAGTAAATGAATCACCAAAAATCACACTACATTTGAGAAAAATTAAGACCATGAAAGAGAGACACCATTCCTAACAAAACATTGTAGAAAGTGAAGAAAATGTAACATAAGACTTCATTATTGGTAAAACTGCTCCCTCCCTGAGAGACTATTGTTTTATGTAGCCCTTGACATTCTTTTAAAGAAGTGATTAGGTATCTTACAAATATAAAAATATTGTCAAAATAAACAATAAAATAGAAGTTCTAATTAGTGTGCTGGAAAACTGACTCAAGGGTTTATCCCAAAGTGTACTGTAAAAAGACAAAGAAGTTTTTTTTTTTTAAAACAAAGACAAAGAAGTTTTTTTTTAAAACACAACATGATTATATTTTAATACACAATCAAAATACGAAACACCATAGTAAATTGATAGCAATAATAAAGGGCTTTTCATTTGCACTGCATGTAACAAAAGACATTGATATTCCAAGGGAAATGGAAAACAAAAAGGCAAAGAAGTTAATAGTATAAAGAGAAAATTTTTGATATGTGGAGAATAAATCTAGAAATTCCAACATATAACAAAAAACGAGTTCTAGAAAAGAACAGAGACTAAGAGAAAACCTAAAAACATACAGAAAGAAACCAAACTCGGAAACAGATTGCCTGAGAAAAGGACTGAAAATTGGACTGTCATCAGACTTCTCAACTGGATACTAAAACACATTAGAACTTTACCTTCAAAGCTGTAATGGAAACTTGATTCTAAACAAAGAATCCTATATCCATTCAAACTAGCATTCAGGAGCAAAACAGAGATGGAAAAGCAAGGACCCAAATTTTACCATGTATAGCCAGTTTCTGAAAGAGAAATTGGGGACTCCAACAAAACCAAAAAGGAATCTAAAAGGAGGACATGATGTATAAAACATAGTGAGGAAAGGAACCAACAAAACTTAAGGATGAATAATTTTTGATACATAATGTAAAATAAGGTATTCTGGAGTAAAAATCTTAGTGATTTATTTCTATATGGGAAGTGGTGGCAGGGAGGGTGTGTGTTTGAGTGAGCAAAGGCACATGTGCGCAGGCTAATGCACTTTACAAGGATGGAAACAGAGTAACTCACTCTAGATTTGAGCTGTCCAGTAGCCACTAACCACTGTGACTACTAAAACAGAATTAAAAGTTCAGTTCCTGTTTCACACTAGCAACATTTCAAGTGCTCAGTAGCTAGTGGCTACCATATTGTACAGCACAGAAACAGAACTTTTGGCACTGCAGGAAGTTCTGCTGGACAGCACTGCTCTGTATGTTGAAAAAAGTATGTTTTAAATGGTTATTACAGTTTTAAGGGTAACCATCAGAAGAAAAGACATAAATGCGTAATTTTCGAATGATATTGGAAGGAAAAAAATTACATAAAGAAAACCAATTGATCCAATAAAAAGCTAAAAAGGAAGAAAATAAAACATTAGTACAACTAAAATAAAAAATAAGGCTACAGGATTATGTCTAAACATATGGTAATCACAGATATAAATGGGTTAAATTCACCTATTAAAAGATATAAACTCTTAGATTAGAAAACAAAGAAAATCTGACATAAGAGACATAGCTAAAACAAAAGGACACAGAAAGAATTAAAATAAAGATATTACAGGCAAATGCTAACAAAAACAAACCTTGCCACCTGGCTGTAGCTTTCAAAACAAAAAAATGCACCATACCCTTTAATTTAGTAATTTCATTCCTAGATATCTGTATCTAGGAATACTTGCCCATGTGGAAAATTCAAGGATTTCTACTGCAGCACTGTTTTTTTTAAAAAGAAATATAAATTTATATAACATTTTTAACCTGTCCAATTGGTTTTTTTTTAAACATCTTTATTGGAGTATAATTGCTTTACAATGGTGTGTTAGTTTCTGCTGTATAACAAAGTGAATCAGCTCTACGTATACATATATCCCCACATCTCCTCCCTCTTAACGTCTTCCTCCCACCCTCCCTATCCCACCCCTCTAGGTGGTCACAAAGCACCGAGCTGATCTCCCTGTGCTATGCGGCTGCTTCCCACTAGCTATCTATTTTACATTTGGTAGTATACATAAGTCCATGCCAATCTCTCACTTCTTCCCAGCTTACCCTTCCTCCTCCCTGTGTCCTCAAGTCCATTCTCTACGTCTGCGTCTTTATTCCTGTCCTGACCCTAGGTTCTTCAGAACCATTTTTTATTTTATTTTTTTAGATCCCATATATATGTGTTAGCATATGGTATTTATTTTTCTCTTTCTGACTTACTTCACTGTGTATGACAGTCTCTAGGTCCATCCACCTCAGTACAAATAACTCCATTTTGTTTCTTTTTATGGCTGAGTAATATTCCATTGTATATATGTGCCACATCTTTATCCATTCATCTGTCAATGGACACATAGGTTGCTTCCATGTCCTGGCTATTGTAAATAGAGCTGCAATGAACATTGTGGTACATGACTCTTTTTTTTTTTTTTTTTTACATGACTCTTTTTGAATTATGGTTTTCTCAGGGTATATGCCCAGTAGTGGGATTGTGGAGCACTGTTCTTGATAGCAGAAGACTCTGGAAATGATTTATATATTTCGTCAATAGAAAGCCAGTTGAATCAATTATGGTTAATCTATACAAGAGACAAGTACGCAGCTGTGAAAAAGAATGAGGGGGTTCTCTGTGCATTGATAAGAGACCACCTCTAACATGTACTAAATAATTAAAAAAACAGGGTACAGAATGGTAACATGCCACTATTTGTGTAAACAAGGAAAAAGTATGTCTACCTATGTCTGCATAGGCACAGAATGTATATCATATGAAACATAAAATGAAAGAATATAAACAGTAATAGCGTCTATCTCTGGGAGAGAAAATGGTAAGCTAGGGGATAGTGTTGAAGAAAGCCATTTATATATTATTCTTATAATTGAATTTTATATTGTATGCATGCATTTTCTATTTAAAAAAATATAGTTACAAAAAGCAGGTGTGGAAATATTTAATAGCAGACAAAATAGAATTCAATATGAAAAGCATGAGACAAAGGCAATTTTCAAAAACGGATGAAAGAACATTCCCCTATAAATCATGAATCTATGCATCTAACAATACCTTCAAAATGTATAAAACAGGTACTATGAGAAATGCAATTAAAGACTGATAAATCCACAATTACAGAGAGACACTTCAACATACTTCTAGAAAGTGGTAAATGAAGTAGACAAAAATAATAGTTAACACTTACTGGGCACTTCTTATGTGAGTGGCACTGAACTGCTTTTTCATGCATTATCTAAGGCTATAGAAAATGTTAGTAGTAATTTGACAAGTCATATACATATACCATATACATGTACCATAAACACCTTTGTACCTGATAAACACAGAATAAACATTTTTTCAGACATTCATTAGATATTCACTAAACACCACACATTACACACCTGCCCCAAACAACCACCAGTACCACTGAGGTCAACATGGCTGGCAAGACTACAATGAAATGAATGCTATCACTGATTTGGCAACAGCTTTTATGAAGACAAATTTGGCATTATGTATCAAGTATCCATACTCCTTGACATAATAATTGTCTTTCTGATATTTATATCTTAAATAAATAATCCAAATATGGGGGAAGCATATTAGAAACCTGAATGTCGAAATGAAAGGGAATGATTAAGTATCATATAACTATTCATTAGAATATTATTCTGCCATTAAAATGACATTTAATATAATAACAAGATGCTTAAAATGTTAAAGGAAAACAAGAAAAATACATTAAATTATGTATATTTTATACAGCTGTTAAAATTAACCCCAATCTTCTTTAATGGGCATATTTTAACTTTCACTTTAGGCAGCATTTTGCTTTGCATCCCTTTCTGCAATTTTCTGTTCATAATTAGCATCTGTTAATGTTACACCAACCTACACATTATTCTACAAAAGAGAACAGAGAAGCCCCAGTTCACCAGAGGTACTCGGAGTCCATAGCCATGATGGCTGCTTTTCTGCCAGTTAAATATAGCGTAAAGGGACTTTCTTTAGGTAAGTTAAATATCCATTAACTTAGACACGGACATTTAGTGGAGTCAAATTTGGCCTCTACATCAGCTCTGGCCAAGATGTAGCAGAGAACTGTGCATGCAGCAGTCACTCCCAGACAAGGTGAAACCCTGAATTTGTAGTTTCTATAGGTAGTTAAATAAACTATTCTTACCTACTTATTAATACTTAAAAGTTGGTAGTTGTTTTAAGGGTTAAAATAGAAGCAAGTTTTCTGGGGAAATAATTCCTTATTTGATACTCTTAGAATCAAACATTTATGTGAATATTCTTTTTTAAAAAAATAGGTCCAAAAGACTCAGCCCGGATCAGCACTGAAGTTATATCAAGAATTAAGTCTGCTTCATGCCAATGAGCTGCTCCTCAGCAGGGGCTGGTTTTGCTACTTGAGGAATGACAACCACTCTGTTGTGTACACAAGAGAGCTGGACGGCATAGACAGAGTCTTCCTCATGGTTCTGAATTTTGGAAAATTATCACTGCTAAATCTGAAGGAAATGATTTCAGATATTCCCACAAGAGTAAGGATAAGGTTAAGTACCAATTCTGCCTACCAAGGCCGTGAAGTTGATACGCATGCCATTACACTGGACAAAGGAGAAGGACTCATCCTTGAATACAACACGAGGAATCTCCTTCATCGCCAAACAGCATTCCAAGATAGATGTTTTGTTTCCAACCGGGCATGCTATTCCAGTGTATTGAACATACTGTACAGCTTGTGTTAGGCACCTATGTGAAAGAGACGGCAACGCTGGCATTCTGTTCTATTGTAAGCATTTGCAGTAACTTCACGTACAGCAGCATGCTGCTGCGTGAACTTTATGAACGGTAATTAATTCTTAGACATTTCTGTAGCTTGAGTGAAACTGCTTTAGGATAGGTTCTCAAATGTTTTTCAAGAATAATAAAGTGTTTAAAAGAAAATTATCCCTTGCAGGAACTTGTAATTTTTTTGAGTTAGCATCAATAAAAGATGACCAGAGCACCTTAGGACTCCAGAATATGAGAGCGATCTAATGAATTTTAATGTGAGGAATATCATCTTCTTCCATAAAATGCAGGTACAGAAATTGGAGGATGACTTAACTGCTAGAGTATCTAAAAATGTTCACTAGCAAAGAAGCAGGACCTTGATTTGTAAACTGTTCAAAGAAAATCAGAGTAAAACAAACCTGTCCTGATGCGGGAAAGGGGAAAGTTCTGCTGTCACCAATCCCTCCTTCACTCCCTTCTCTATGTCCTTCTACAGAGCATGGTTTGAAAACTACTTTCCTAGGTTAAGGGGCACGTGCATCAATGGAGACAACGGCATAAGCAAGTGAGCTATATACAAAACAAAATCTGGATGGAGAAGCAAATTTTAAAAATTATTTACTAACTTAAAAAACTCACTTTTGTTAATGTAACTGGAAATATGACTATGAAATATTTCAGTGTGTTTCCAATTTCCACTGAATGCAGCATTTCAGAATTTTAGATATTTCTTAAGATTCTCGAAAACACTGGTGCTGTCAAGTCCAAGTTCCTCGTACAGGAATTTAATTTGGGCTGTAATCTAAAAGAAACACATTTAAAAAATTAGATAGAAGGCCTTTGTGGTAAAACTCCAGTGTTCAAGTCTCTCCTTGTCCATCCATCTTCACCTAACCCTGAAGTCAGCAATTTATGGCAAAGGTATTTTTTATTTGGCACAGAGGCAGAAGGCTCCCAACAACTGAGATTCAACTACTTTCTCTAACAGAGCTCCTGTATCAAGTACCTTTTCTCTTTATTGACTCTGAGTTCCTCCTTCCCCCTCAGGTCTCAGCCATAGACCTGACAGTTGGTGAAGCAGCCGGCACAAACCCTGCTGCAACCACTGAAAGGCCGAGTACAACACATCACTAATTGGGGATCTGTCAACTTAAAGGGGCTTGATAGCATACCTTTTTGTGAGAATCCTCAATCACATGATTGCCTCCAGGCTGAATATCTAAAATAATATTGGGGGCTTGATAACCTGAAAGAGTTAACATATGAAACAATTAGAAGGTTTCGGCCAACTGAGACCCACCCATTTCACCCGGCTCCCTCCAAGCACTCTATTAAAATAACAGCGAAGGAGAAAGGCATAAGCCACCACCACCACCAATAACAAAGACAGGAGAGGTGGGGAGAGCAGTAGAAAACAAATTTTTGAAACAGGAAAAGCAGGAGGAGGCCCAGAGGCAGAGGAAGCTGGATGAAAGAGACTACAGGGCTACATGGAGAAGGAAGCCAATTGGTCTTATGGAATCTGAGAGCCTTGTGACCTGGAAACACCAACTATAGCAATGGGTGAGAGTGAGACACAGAACTGAATACAGGGCAACTGTCTGGAAACTTGTATGTGAGACCCTCCAACCCTCAGCCCAGAAGGTCCTGGCATGTCTTGGCAAGGAAAAACAGTAAGAGTTCTTGTCTAATAAAATTGAAAGATCTAGAGAAAATTAAAGCTGCTAGTTTGGGCACTGAAGCTCCAGAGCAAAAACTTCAGAATTTGTTCTTAGAGATTCCCAAGAATAAAAGCTCAATTAATTTTGTTAAAGAATGAATGATATGATACGGTATGACAGTACACCTCCAAGTTATGTAGATATTTAAATTTACTTTTTTCTTTGTGCGTTGCCTACCTTATTTTAATGCTGTCCTTTGAAAAACAGGCGAGGCAGTTATAGTTATTACATTTGCTTCAAATGGGTAGTTGACACAGGAAAAACTGATTTGTCTAAAATCATGGGTGATTGATTTGGTCTGCAGTACTACTCTGAGCAGTACACTGAAGGTGACAGTCCATGTAGCTACATCCCCTGATCCCAGATGGTCTCCTACCTTCCCCGGTGCCCTTAGCATGCTCCACGATGGCTTCCTTGAGTTTCTCAGTGTAGTTTACAATTCCTTTCAGAGGCACACGTTCGTCATTTTCATAAGCTGTGATGTGAATTGAAGGAAAATGCTGAAAGAAAAGAGATGTACAAAGAATTTATATTATTCCTTATGGTCCCTTTCCACCTTATGGATTATGAAAAACACTTACCTCCAATTTCTTTTTCCCTAAGTGCTAGGACTTTTTTTCTCATTTGATATTCTTGAGAGATATATGGCATCACAATACTAGACTATTTGTTACCTGGAATAACCTTTTCTTGACTAGTGAGACCTTGATCTTATTGAATCTAGTCTCCTGAGCTATTAAGTTGAAACAAACATGGAGTATGAGCAGAGAAGGGGCTGAAAGGTGAGTATTATAAGGAGAAACAATCTAAGGCCTTACTAAATTCCTGCTTTGGTTCGGGTAAATATCCTTTTCATTATTCTATCACTTCAGCATAGTATATCATAACTGTCTTTCACTACCTTAGGTTTAATGTTTTGATAGGGACAGTAACGTTTTATGTAGTTCTTGTGTTTTTCATCAGATGAAGGATTCCCCCACTCTTCTAATTCTTCTAATGTCAGAGGAAGTGTAGTGTCCATCATGGTGTTGAGAACATCCAAGAAAGGTGCCTTAAAAAAAAAAAAGCCAGAGAAATTTAAACTTCAATTAATAAATTGGTAAAATGAGTTTCAGAAAAATACTATACTTTATGAATATACATGCTGACATCACAGAACGAAGCTCAAGAAGTTATGTACATTCCCAGGAGCCAGATTTATTAGCCAGTCTGTAACCAGGGCCTGTGATTTATAACTGGCTTTTAAGGTATTCAGACTCCTTAAATGACAAAGGATTTATCTTCCAATTTCACAATTTTTGCCTTTAGTTTTGTTTCTTTTATTCACATAATAAATGCCACCACCTCACATCCATTAGGCTACTATAAGAAAAAAAAGTGTTGGCAAGGATGTGGACAAACTGGAACAATTGTGCACTGCTGGTGGGCATGTAAAATGGTGCAGAGAGTATGGTGGTTTCTTAAAAAATTAAAATTAGAATTATCATATGATCCAGTAATTCTATTCCTAGGTATATATCCAAAAGAAATGAAAGCAGGGTCTTGAAGAGTACACCCCTGTTCACAGCAGTATTTACAATACCCAAAAGGTGGACATAACCCAAGTGGCCACTGATAGATGAATGGATAAGCAAAACATAAATACAATGATACAATGAAATTCAGCTTTACAAAGAAGGAAAATCTGACACCTGCTACAACACAATGGACCTTGAGAACATTATCTAAGTGAAATAAACCAGTTATAAAAAGACATATATAAAAGAAAAAAAAAGACATATAAAACATTGTACGATTCCATTTATATAGGAGGTACCTTAGTGTAGTCAGATTCATAGAAAACTAGAATGGTGGTTCCCAGGGTCCAGAGGAAGGGGAAATTGGGGAGTTGCTATTTAATGGGTACAGAGTTTCAGTTTTGTAAGATGAAGAGTTATGGAAACTGGTTGCACAACAATGTTGAGTGTACTTAACACTACTGAACTGAACACACTTAAAAATGGTTAAGATCGGGGCTTCCCTGGTGGCGCAGTGGTTGAGAGTCCGCCTGCTGATGCAGGGGACGCGGGTTTGTGCCCCGGTCCGGGAGGATCTTGCATGCCGCGGAGCGGCTGGGCCCGTGAGCCATGGCCACTGGGCCTGCGCATCCGGAGCCTGTGCTCCGCAACAGGAGAGGCCACAGCAGTGAGAGGCCCACGTACCGCAAAAAAAAAAAAAAATGGTTAAGATGGTAAATTTTATGTTATTTTACCACAATTAAAACTTAAAAATAAGGGTTTTCCTGGTGGCGCAGTGGTTGAGAATCCGCCTGCCAATGCAGGGGACATGGGTTCGAGCCCTGGGCCAGGAAGATCCCACATGCTTCTGAGCAACTAAGTCCATGTGCCACAACCACTGAGCCTGCACTCCAGAGCCCATGAGCCACAACTACTGAGCCCACATGCCACAACTACTGAAGCCCACGTGCCTAGAGCCCGTGCTCCACAACAAGATAAGCCACCACAATGAGAAGCCCACCACTGCAATGAAGAGTAGCCCCCGCTTGCCACAACTAGAGAAGCCCACATGCAGCAACGAAGACCCAACGCAGCTAAAAATAAATAAATAAATAAATAAAATTTAAAAAATAAAACCCCAACTACACATGAATAAACTCAGTTGGACATTTTACATTATAAAAAGGTAATAAATGCTAATTGAAGAAAATCTGAAAATTATCCAAGTTGAAAAAGAATATCACTCATTGGCTTATAACCAGTATTAAAACATTTAATAAAATGGGAGCTGCTTTGTTCATATAGCTATATGATCTTCTGTTAACATGTTTTGCAGCTTTCTCTTTTATTAACATTAAGCAAATATGGGCAAATGCAATTCTTTTTGGCTTCCTAGCATCTTAGCTCCTTTTCTGCATTTAGAATATCCCTAACCTTATGAGACAGCCTGCCTCTCACTGTCGAGGAGCTAAATGCCAGATAGTTCCTTTCCCAGCTTTCCCTCAGAGTGAGAGTAGCCACACGACTTAGGTTTACCAAGCAGACATAATGGGCTCCAAACTTTGAATGAATTGTGGGATAACTGCGTTACCTCCAATTCTTCACTATTATAAGCAATGTGGGATAAATATTCTTATATATTTCTGATTATTTCCTTTCTGATTTCTTTCTTTTTTAAAATTTATTTATTTATTTATTTTTGGCTGTGTTGGTTCTTCCTTGCTGCATGCGGGCTATCTCTAGTTGCGGTGAGCGGGGGCTACTCTTCGTTGAGGTGCGCGGGCCTCTCATGGCGGTGGCTTCCTGTTGCAAAGCATGGGCTCTAGGCACATGGGCTTCAGTAGTTGTGGCACGCAGGCTCAGTAGTTCTGGTGCACAGGCTTAGTTGCTCCATGGCATGTGGGATCTTCCCGGACCAGGGCTCGAACCCGTGTCCCCTGCACTGGCAGGCGGATTCTTAACTACTGCACCACCAGGGAAGCCCTCCTTTCTGATTTCTAAAAGTCAAAGGTTGCATTTTCTTTATAATTCTGCCATTATTGTCTTTGTGCATAGAGTTTTTTCCCTTCTATACTTAGTATTTCTATTAAAAAACAGATTTACAGATCAGGAATATTTAACACTTATTTACTTAATACAAGCCCACAGTGTATAGCCCACACCCTCAAAAAAAAAAAAAACCTGAAAATAATTTATTCTCCATCTTAGTCATTATATTCTAGAATATCTATTGTAGAAGAACAAAATTTGTCACCCCCATATTATTTCAAGCTGAAAACAACCAAGGCCCAAAAGACTCAGGAAGAAACTTTGATATTCTCCCTAACAGCCTGAAGAATTTAGATAGAGGGTGTATTACAGGAACATCACCAGATAATAAATATGGACTAACTGTGGTGGGGAAATGCTTAGAGACCAGAGTCCACTCTGTGTCCCATGGTCTCTGCTAACCCAGCAAACATTTGTTTACCAAACTTTTGCTTTTCCACCTCCATGTGAACTGCCTTCTACCCCTTGAAGTCTTACCCCTAACATCCTCTTCTGTCTTTAGCTGAAGATGGTGTTTAAGGTGAATAACCATGGCCACCATTCTGGTCATTTTGGTGAGTTACTCAGTCTGCTGGGTCTCTTCCATGTATACATGTTATTAAACTTTTGTTTGATTTTTCTCCTGTTAATCTGTCTCATGTCAATTTAATTCTGAGACCAGCCAGAAGAATCTAGAGGGAAGAGGAAAATTTCTTTCTCCCCTACACTAACCAGGAAGCAGGAGAAAGATGGAGGTGAAATGAGCGGCTATAATTTCATAACTTTGGACATCAGGAAAAGACTATAGAGCCTCTTCAGAACAGGAAAAGATATTTCAATTGAAGTATAGAAAAATATTCCTAAAGACCATTAATAAGAATAGAGTATGTGAAAATAGAGAGCCCCTAAATCCAGGACTGAAATGTTGATGGGCAAGAAGAGTCAAAGGATTTCACACATTCCAGAGTCAGTGTGCTTGACCTGACTTCCTGGATCTGGTGTTTTGTATATGCTTTGTCTCTTTTCCACCAACTCTAAACGTTCTTACAAATAAAAAATGATCAGTGGGAATAGCCATTAATATCCTTCAGAGGAAATCCTTAAAAATCAATAAAGAACACTCTCAGGGAAGTTCTCCCAGAGCTGTAATTCTGTGCTTAAAATTTAAAAGCTTTGTTGTACTCCTATGTTATGGTAAAACTGTAACAGAAAATTTTTCTTAGAGCATCTATTACTTCACGCCTCCCTATTCTGTAAACCGTAGAGGCAGAGTACTTACCTCCAAAGTCACAGCTCTCAGCAGCTCTGGATTAGAATTACACAATGCTCCCACAAGCACCCCTCCAGCACTGAAAGCAGTCAGGGTTGTTAGACTTGGCTGAGAAAAGCCTTGGCCATGAAGTGTCTTAATGCAAGCCTCTAAGTCAGCAAGGCCATTGAGTTTTTTAGTTAGACGGCCATCAGCATGCCACTGGAGGCCTAACTCACCACCTCCCCTGAAATTAAAGGGCAAAAAAGTTTTAGTGGGGAAAAATGTAAATGATATATAGGTCAGGGTCAGCAAACTACAGTCTGCGGGTTAAATCTCCCCATAGGCTTGTTTTTGTATGGCCCTTGAGCTAAGAAGGATTTTTACATTTTTAAAGGTTGGGAAAAAAAAAATCAACCAGGAATATGCAACAGAGACCACATGTGGCCTGCAAAGCCTAAAATGTTTACTATTTTGTTCTTCAGAGAAAAAGTTTGCCAACCCCTGACACAGACAATCAAAAACTGATTCAAGGTGGCACTGAGACCCGGGCGTGCAGTGGGGGGCAGCAGGCGTGGGGCAGGCATGGGGGCCTCATTGGCCTGGCACTAACGTCTCGCTTTGTGCCTCCCCCACTCCATCCTCTTCCCTGGCGTGCTGGGCCCTGCCAACCCTGCAGGACAGCCCCGACTTCCTCTCAGAGGAGGACCGCGGACTTAAAGCAATAAATGTAGATCTTCAAAGTGATGCTGCTCTACAGGTGGACATTTCTGATGCTCTTAGTAAGAGAGAGAAAGTAAAATTCACTGTTCACACAAAGAGTTCATTGCCAAATTTTAAACAAAATGAGTTTTCTGTTGTTCGACAACACAAGGAACTTATCTGGCTTCATGATTCCTTCATTGAAAGTGAAGACTATGCAGGTTACATTATCCCTCCAAGCACCACCAAGACCTGATTTTGATGCCTCAAGGGAAAAAGTACAGAAACTTCGAGAAGGGTCTATGACAAAGGAAGAATTCACAAAGATGAAACAGGAGCTGGAAGCTGAGTATATTTGGCAATATTCAAGAAGACCGGGGTGGGAGGGAGGGAGACACAAGAGGGAAGAGATATGGGAACATATGTATATGTATAACTGATTCACTTTGTTATAAAGCAGAGACTAACACACCATTGTAAAGCAATTATACCTCAATAAAGATGTTAAAAAAAAAAAAAAAAAGAAAGACCGTTGCAGTGCATGAAGTGTTCCTGTGTTGTGTGGCAGCACACCCCATTTTGAGGAAAGATTTAAATTTCTATGTCTTCCTGGAACATAATCAAGATTTGACTGTGTGAGGAAAAAATAAAAAAGAGAAACTTGAAGATTTCTTTAAAAATGTGGTTAAATCAGCAGATGAAGTAGTTGTTTCTTGAGTAAAGGATGCAGATGATTTCTCTGAGAGTGAACGAACATTCCTTTTAGAATATCATAACCGAGTTAAGGATGCATCTGCTAAATCTGATAGGATGATGAGATCCCACAAAAGTGCTGCAGATGATTACAATAGAATTGGTTCTTCATTATATGCTTTAGGAACTCAGGTTTCTACATATATATGCAAGTTTTTCTTAAAGGTCCAGAACTGTTTGATAAAACAAGAAAAAGTGTCAGCTGATGAGGACCTCAAACTTTCTGACCTTTTAAAATATTACTTAAGAGAATCTCAAGCTGCTAAGGATCTCTTCTATCGAAGATCTAGGTCACCACTGGATTATGAAAATGGTAATAAAGCACTGGATAAAGCAAGAGTGAAAAATAAAGATGTTCTGTAGGATGAAACGTCTCAACAATTATGCCGTCAGAAATTTGAAAAAATATCTGTCTCTGTAAAACAAGAACGTAGAGATTTTAAGACAAGAAGAGTTGCTGCATTCAGAAAAAATTAGTGGAACTGGCAGAGTCAGAACTGAAACATGCAAAGGTAGTGTCATATTAAAGATTTAATAATTTAAGTGACATAATTTAGTAATGAGTCAGTTACAAAACCTTATTCTAGTTTTAAAAATAGAGTATCTTAGAAATGAGAGGGATTTTAAAGATCATCTAATTTAAACAAGAATAATATCTATTATAATAGATCTAATGGTATCATTTTTTGACTAGTTGTTAAATAAATCTTCCTTAAAAAAAAAAAAACGGACTCAACAAATATGCTTTGAGTGCCTGCTTACTGTTTACCAGACACTGTGCTAAATGCAGGCCTTAAAAATATAAAAAAGTAGAATCCTCTGTCCTGGAGGTCATAATTTTGCGGGGAAAGAGAACAGCTACCAAGCAATGTGGTTGCTGCTATAACAGAACCAGAACCAGAGGAGAGAACATCCACCTGTCAGGTTAGGGGTATATATAGGAGTCAGGAACATGAATGCTTTAAGGAGGTGATATCTAAGCTGAGTCTTGAAGGAAGAATGTGAGTTCCCAGAAGGGCAAAGAAAGGGAAGGCATCAAGACACAGCATGTGCAAAAGCACAGAGGGGAAAGAGGTTGTCATTTGAAAGCATGTAGCGAGGCTGGATGTGTAGGATGTGCATGTCTGGAGAGCAGGACATGTTTGGGAAGTGATGACAGATGCCACTACAAAGATAAGCCAAATCATTAGGATGTTAAATACTACACTGAGGTATTTGGATTTTATTGTGGAGATGGGGAAGTGGTAAAGAATTTTAAGCAGAAACATATAATACTAATTGTGTCCTGAAAACAGCTTAAATAAAATGGAAGTTAGAGTGGAAAAAAGGGAGTCCAGCTTAAGAGGTTATTTTAGAAAAACCCAAACTCATGAGAATTAAATGGAAATAATAATGTAACTAAGAAAGTACAGTGCTTGGTTTATCTATTCTAAAAATCCTAAAAATCTGGTGTAAAATCCAAAAAATCTACCCTTTTGCTTTTGGGATTAATTAATATGTTACTGAATCAGGTTCTACTACCACAGGTTTAAGAATACACAAATTCAACAATGCAAATGAGAAAATAAACTTCTGCTCCCCAATATACTGTTATTTTGAACATGTGACAATACTCCAGTACTCATATTCCAGGCAAAATGTGCTGACTCACCGAACATGACAATATGCTAATATCCATCCATCGTCTACCAACACCCGCCTTTCAGGCCTGAAATTCATTTTCAGATCCATTCCATAAGCTCCATATACATGTACCAGGAGAGGTTTCTTCTGTAAGTCTTCAGAATCCATTTTATGGAAAATAGTCATTGGCACTAATTTTCCATCCTGGAAATGAAGATTTACTATGCAGGTAAAGAAGTCTTCTCAAACAGTTTTAACCCCAATTTTATGTGCTGCTTATTGACGTTGAGCACCAACTTCATTTAATTAAGACAAAAGAGTTACGGTCTCTAAAAATCCCTCAGGGTCCTTAATTTTCAGCTACTCTGCTGACCTATAATAGTAACTAGAAAGGAACAGCAAGAGTCTGGTTTGAAAACAGTTTATGAAATGTAGCTTTTCAGGACAGTAAAGTGACTTTAAAGAGTTCTTCACTACTCAGTATAACAATTTTTTTTTCTTTCACAACAAGCCAAAATACCTATCAAGCTTAGATATACTAGCACGGTATTCTTCCTATACCTCGGGTTACATATGGGCATTTCTCATCTTTGAATATATACAAATATGCTAATTAAAGAAGTTTTAACAATTCAATTTTCTGTACTCAATAGTCAGAATTCTCAATCATTAAAACCTGAAATCTCTTACTGACCTAACACCCACCCACATCCTCTTCAAAGACCTATTTATTTTTACAATGTTTAAAAGCGGTTTAAGTTTTATAAATTTTAACATCTAAATTATTTTTAGGGCAAATAACTATACTTCAGTGTAGTTCACACTCAACTGACTTCCTTTCATAGAAAAAGGGTAGAAAATGTTGGTTCTCACCCTGCTTACAGAAACTAATGAAAAAGCACTAGTTTACATAAGGAAAATAATATAACCAGGCCGCTCTCCCTATTTTTTTCATTCCCATTTTGAAAACTTCACTTTGGGGCACTAGAGTGTTATCAAATAAGGAAGAACTCTTCCTCTCATTATTATACCCGTTATGACAGTGTAACTGAATTTTCACCGTAACTGAATTTTCACTTCTCAGTAAGATTCATTCTTATAAAATGATGCAGATTTATTTCTATAAAATAATCTTGTTGTGGTCATCTTCCTGCCTCCTACCCAATTTCACTTAAACAAGCAGAGAAAAGCTTGTTGGTTAAAACTTATGAAAAGGAAGAGGTAAGGATGGTAGCAAGTCCCATGATGGCCTGAATCCCTGAGTTCATCAGCAGTGCAAAAATGCCTGTAGTTACAGCAGCTTCCCTTTAGCAGTTGTTTCCTTCTTCCCTAAGGTACGAAGAATCCCTTGGCTCTCCAGGAGCTTAGCTTCACTGTTCTTTCCATTTGGGGTATAATTACAACATTTTGGGAGATTGGTATAAATCCCATCTTTGTAAAACAAAACAAAGCCTAAACATATGTATTTTGTTGACAAAACCCCAAAATCTGGAAGGTGATAATGTGTCAACAATGATTATTTTTATGCAGTACAGCAAATAGGACTGAAAAGTAGTCATTTAAACTTTATACATTCTATATTTTTGTATTTGTTCTAATAAGCGTGTATTGCTTTTATAAAGTAGTTATTAAAGTAGTCTTTGCTTAAAGATATTTTTTAAAAAATCAGTGAATTAAAGAAAAAATTCACAAGGAAAAAAAGGCTTCTGTTTTGATTCATTCTTTGTCAGTACATGCAAAATTATCTGATGTATGATGTGCTAAGCTCTGAGAATTCCTTAAATTCAAGGCCATGGTTTATGTATTAATTTGTTCCTCACTTGCTCAAATTTTCTTCTCTACTTACTACCTCCCCAACCTCCCACTGCCCCCGGACAATCTTCCCTCTTTTACGCTAGACTTTGGCCATACTGTTCTCCTTTATACTTCTTGAATGCATTATTTCTCCCTCAATTCAGGGCCTCTGCACAAAATAGAATCCTCCTTCCCCTTTTCTAGCTTAACTCTTGATCATCTTAGAGGCATTACTTCCTCAGAGAAGCTTTCCCCAATTTCTCCAGACGAGGTAAGGTCCCTTTACCACATGTTTCCACTGTACTCAGTACGTCTTCCTTGGCAGCAATCAGTACATTAGTAATTACTTCTTCAAAATCTAGCATCTTCCCCACTAGATTTAACCTCCATGAGGGCATGGAGTCTATATTAGTCTAGTTCACTCTAGTCAGTTGCTTACTACCTTCATAATTTTTGTCATAACTACACAGAAACTTTATTTTCTTCTTGAAATCAACTTTTAATATTCAAATATACACAACACATGAAATCAAGGGCTTGCTATGATGGTTATAAATTTTCGAATCTGTGTTAAAATAAATGCATGAGTATCAGAAGTTAAAAAAAAAAGTCCATGTACCCCCTAAAATCATTTGGGTCTTGCTGTGGAATGTGAGATCCACTTTACTAAACTGTGCTAATGTAATCCCAGCAATTGCACAATACTTGACAAATAGTATCCTTTCAACAAACAGAGGCTGACAGTGGGGATGACAAAGACTTACCTTGCTTTTGGCTTCTATACGTAAAACACGACTAGTCTTTGTGATTGGGTCTTCATGCCCAGTTTCCTCAAACAGTTTGCCTTCTGAAAACTTATACGTGTAATATTTAGGGGGGCGTATAGGAGAGCAAAGCTGAAAGGGGCAGTTCTTTGGGTCTGAATTTGTATCCATTATGAATCCACAGGCCCAAGGTGGGAGCTGAAGAAATAAAACAGTTATTTTTACTCTTTATCTAGACACTAAGTATTATTAATTAAATTTCTGGGTCTGCTCCAAACAAGATGATGTGGACATCAAATTTATTTTTATCCATTATCACATAATGCCTCATCTAAGGGTTACTTCAGCACAACAAAAAATATTTCAAGTGAAAAACAAAACTCTATGCAAATGACCAATAAAATAAGGAAAAAGTACAGTAAAATGGTTTATCATGAATCTAGATTTACATGAAGTCTCCTTCAATAAAAAAGTTTATTTTGGGGGTATATACACTTGGGCAATGACACAGCAAAATGATTAAGAATAACAGCAAATCAAGTAGTAATTCCAGAACCCAGAGACATCTCCAAGATCTCTATTCTCTATTCTCATAGAACATGAAATTTCTCACGTGTGTTTTTAATAATTTATCCAGCAGCCCTTACTCTGCTGCCTGGACAGCAGCAGTGATGACAGTTATTATTCCAGGGCTACAAACTGGCTCAGCAGCACTAAAGCATTTACAATTTGTTTTTAACTTTAGCTCCCAGGGTAACCATTGTGCAGAAGAAAACCTTTCCCGCACATCCACTCTGAGAGACTCACAGCTATTACGCTTAAGATTCTTAACTTTAAGAAAAAAGGAAAGAAATCAAAATTTATTCTCTCAGAGCAGCAGGGTCCAGCCTCAAGCCTTCCACTAACATCCCTCTTACACCTTTTAAAGAACTCTAGTAAGCAGGCTGACAGTGTGTTAGAAATGGTACTGAGAGTCAGAACATTAATAGAAAATTGGCTTTCTTTTCCTGAGTAATTGTAGAAAGAGCAAATTCCTTAGAAAATCAGAGGTCTTGGCACAGCAACATCACTGGTGGGCACTATTTAGAAAGGGTAGGTGGGGGATCTATGCATAAAGAGTGTACCATTCAACCTGTAGAAACTACAGCCAAAGAGCTTACGTTCACAGAGCAAATTCCTTGCAATTAATCCAAAGAATCCACTGCCCTGAAACACTAGGGACATAAATTTGCAATGTCTCTCTAAAAGAGTTCCTAATTTATTCTCCTCAGATTGCGGGTTATTTTCAAGGATAATTTGTTTATTTAAATATAAGCCATAACTAGAAAGAAAAATGTAATCATGGAAGTTGGGAAATCTGTTAGCAAAAGTGAAATGTAAAAGTAAAAATTGAGACCTCAGTGGGAAAAAAAGGAAGAAGCATTGCTATTAACCTTGTAACAGAGGCCTCAGATTGAGGGCACAAGGCTCCTCAGCCCTCAGGGGTACAAGTTTTTCTCCCCTTTGGTGACACTTTAAAACATTTTCCATGTGACTCATGTAGTTAGTTTTTTTTTTTTTTTTTTTTAGTAAGCTTAGTTTCTGATTAAATGGTTCCAATAAATCAAAAAGTCTTTTGGGTGTATTTCTTAAACTAATGGGACCAAGGTTAAAGTTTTAATCATAACAAAAACTGTTCTACGGCTATGGACTTTTTAAAGTCTGTCCAGCTGATATAGAGGTATTAACTATCTCAAGGATATCTTCAGCCACATTTCCTATTGAGATAGGCCTGCAGTATCATCTATGTATATTAATGAACAGAGCCTGAGAAGAATTATAAGCTGGCCAGGTGATATGCAGATATTCCTTGAGATATTTGACAGAAACAGGTTTAGATTAAGCATTCTATCAGCTAACCACAGTCATTTCATCAAAAGAATGATTAAGACATACATGCTGAAAGAAAATCAGCCCAAGCATGCAGGCTGCTCCAGATGCACTGATGTTAGCACAAAGCAAAACATTTCCTAATTTGCTTTAATTAAATATCATAACCAAATAATATATCATAACTAAAAACATCACCAGGAAATACTGATGACATGATGACCAAGGATATGAGGCAATATATTAAGGGCTTCACATTTTCTATTGCTGAGATTGAGTTTATAAAGCTCTTTTAGTCAAGTGCGCACTGGGCAGAGATGTTACATACAGAAATACTTTATAATCCACTCACAGTATGGCTTACAGATGTCCTTTGTATATAGCACTGTCTGTACATATTAATCAGTGTTACCCAGTTCATAAAAAGGCTCTGATCTACAGAATTCTCTTTAACTAGCACCTGGTATATAATATAGTATTTGATTCCATGTGATGATAACTCAGAATATCATACTCAGATCATAATAGGTACTACAGGTTGGGAAAGGTCAAGGAATAAAGAAATAGAGGATACAGAATAAATGAAAGACATGATGTTTGTGTTAATGGAAGTTAAAACAATGGAAACTGAGGCATATCTTAAAAATACAAAAAATATAAAAGGCCATATTTACTTAGAAATCACATCTTAGCAAAGTCTCATGACATTCCTAATTCTGAAAGAATTTTGTTATAATAAATGCATTGCTAGAAATTATATATTTTCTCCCATCCCTATTCCTATGGACTACAATAAGAACAGATGCTCTGCCAGTTTCTGGATTGAAGATGTCTGAATTTGGCATCAATTAGCAAGTGAAAAGACACACTTTGAGTTCAGTAGATGAAAGCAGTAACAAAATTGCTGGAGTTAAAAATCACCATTTTTGTTTTAGGACATTTATACAGCCTTCTAAGGCATAAGACATTACATTTGATAATTTGATAATTTGACTTCATGAAGTAGATGGAAAATTTTGGTTGTTTTATTTAGGCCCTAGTTATTTCTTATTTATAGCACTGTAACAATCTCAAAACTAACCTCTATGCTCCTTATCTCTTGGTGCTTTGGTGTGCTCTAGCACGTCTGCCCGATAACCTCATGAAGTACAGCTTGACTCCTTAAATTATTCCCCTGCCCGCACACTTCACATGCTCCCCTCTTCATAATTTAGGCATATATTCACCACCTTGACAGTCAAAGAATGTCAAATCATAGCTTCATCACCTAGAAATTTATTCTGCTTCAATAAAAATGAATTATTAGCAGTTTCCTGAACATTTTCTGAACTTCTCCAGCTTAGAGCTTCATTTGATGGACTTTCTCAGCCTAGAATACCATTCCCTTCCCCACCCATCAAAATCCTATCTATCCTCTTCGGTTTATCTCAAATTCTACTTCTCAAAGCTTTCCTGGGCCCTCTTCCTTTCCTTTGGGCCTCACAGCACATTTTATGTTTCTGATCCCACTTATTTAAACCCATCTTATACTTGATCTTTGTGTACTAGTCTAATCTCATGATAAACTGTATTCTCCTTAAGGCCTGATATTTTGTCCTACTATCTTTCCATTCCAGAGTGCCCAATACACAGAAATTTGATAAACATCCAGTGAATTTACTGGAATTGCATTTTAACAAAAATTGTGATAGTAGTACAGATGGGGAGGTACAAGTGGTCTGTTTGCTGGTCACACAACTCCATATCAAGCAAAACAGAGGCCTCTCTTCTTCCCTTCAGTGCATGCTATCTAAAGTCACATATTAATGCTGCTTTAAAACTGGGCAATAACGTTACCGTTCACCAGTTTTAGCAATAAAATTGGCAAAGAGATGATGAAGACATGAGAATGCAGTGGCAGAAACATAGTAGCAGAAACACAGTGGGTATGACTACTATCCCCACTGGGGGTGTGGGATGGGAACAGGAGGCAGTGGTTAGGCACTAGCTGCCAAGTTGGCCTGAGTTATTACTATATCTAAAGTTGTAGAGATATGTGATATAGAGATAAGCAGAAAGAGAAATACAATGGCACTTTACCTCTGAAATCATGCCATAAGACAGTATTTTTAAGTAAAAGTGCACAAAAAGGAAGGTCCTCTAAGTAATTCTAAAACAAACCTCCTAAACCTGATAAAGACCCAATATGCTAAATTCCATTTAAATTAATTTCCTTTTAAGAAAAAGTATATTGGTATTATTCAAAATTTGATGTTCTGTTAATACACTGCATATATTTTGACTAATGTATTATCTTTTGAAAATTAAACATACCTTTAGAGACTGAACTGAATCGTCAGCCAGACCAATCACATTAACATAAAGTAGATTGCTATGCTTCAGGAATAGAACACAGTGATCCTTAAACATGTCCAGGTCTACAACTTTGGTATTTCTCTTCATTGTGAAAAATAAATCCCAATTCATAATAGCAGGGGTATCGGCTGCTGTTCTCATTAGCTGTGTGGAACAAAATTAGAAGAGATCTAGGTACCAGAACATGATTACTACAGCAACCAGAAATGAAACCACTGAAAACCAGACCATACTCGTCTTCACCATTTTATGAAGAGCTGAAGGAACTAACTCTGCATCAGGCCTGAAGTGTGAACATCACCGTATGAATGAGCCCAGGGCTAGCCTGCTGGGTGGGTATAGCCCAGTGCTTAGCTGACTGGTCAACCAATGGACATTTGAGTGAGAGTACTGACAGCCAGTTGACTGTGGAACTATCAATGAGCCTAGCCAAAACCAGTAAAAGAACTGCCTGAGATCAATCCAAACTGCTGACTCACAAAATCATAAGCTTATAAAAGTTTGTTAAGCCACTAAGTTTGGCCTTGATAACTAATATATTCAGGATAGAGTATGTTTTCATTTACTAACCTTTTTAGGTACAATTAAAATATGAAGAGGTATTAGCTCTAAGGGAAGAGAAAGGGGATTGGTTCTACATAGGAAGGTAGCATTAGTTTTTACAATACCCAAAGCTTACAAAACAATAAACTTTTAGAGCAAGAAATGTTGATGTTAGTGTAACACTCCCTAAGAGCCTAAATGGGGACCAGGAGGATACAGGATTTACCTTGAATTCTGTAGGCTCGCCAACATTAGTGAGAATGTATAATTCATCATCTCTGTGTTCTACGTAGTAAAGGACCCCGTGTATTCGCTTCTGGATAAGTACTGGTGGGTCCCAAGGGCTCATGCCATCTATCAACCACACCTCTGAAGTGGTCTTGTTCATAATATTCATGGTGAGAAAACGACTGTCTTTTGTAAGATAAAGGAAAACAAAAAAGCTGCACAGGAGAGGGAGAGAGAGATACGAAAACCCAATAAATTTCAAATGCAGGCTATCTTGTTAATGACAATATCTCACTGGTGTTCAGTATATATATTAATTTATAATGTAGATAGAAAATAAAAACTCCTTAGTGAATACTGCTTATAAAAACTGGCTATTATATTTCTCATTTCCTCCCCAAAGGCATTCAAAATAATTTTTCTCTAACATTTTATTATAAAAAATTTTCAAACATACAGTAAAGATGAAAGAAATGTAAGGTAAATACCGACATACCTACCACAAAGGTTCAATCATGGCTAACATTTTGTTATATTGTCTTTATCACATATCTATGTATCTATCAATCCATCTTTTTTTAAAAAATGCATTTCAAGGTAAACTACAGACATCATCTAACTCTCAATCACATTAATAGATTATAGGGCTTTTTCCTGAGAAGAGGAAATAAACTTCCTAGAGGAGATATGTAACTGTAGGGAAGAAAAGGGACATAGAGTTTCCTTTGTTTTTCTTCTCTGTGCATGTTGGATATCCTTTTTCCTACTCTCCTAGTTTTTACAACAAAACAAACAACAGGAAGAAAAACCCTCACAATCTCACTAACCTAACACATTTTTAAAATTAACTATTTTAATTTTTCTATTTTTCCTTCTAAGGCTTAATTGTATTTTATACATGTCTTTTTTTTGTGTGTGTGGTACGCGGGCCTCTCACTGCTGTGGCCTCTACCGTTGCGGAGCACAGGCTCTGGACGCGCAGGCTCAGAGGCCATGGCTCACAGGCCCAGCCGCTCTGCAGCATGTGGGATCCTCCCAGACTGGGGCACAAACCCGTGTCCCCTGCATTGGCAGGCAGACTCCCAACCACTGCGCCACCAGGGAAGTCCTATACATGTCTTTAAATAGATGTAGTTATTTAAAAAATATAGATGCAATTCTGGCTTCTGCATTTAGTTTTTTTGTTTGTTTGTTTGTTTTTTATTGGCTGCGCTGCGTGGCACATGGGATCTCAGTTCCCCAACCAGGGATAGAACCTGCGCCCGCTGCAGTGGAAGTGCAGAGTCTTAAGCACTGGATTGCCAGGGAAGTCCCTGCATTTCTTCTTACACATATTATCATCTTCCCCTACATTAGTTATACAGTCTGTGATCATTATTTTTAATGGCTACCTAATATTCTATCGAGTTGAATTATCATAATTCTTAAAAATGTAGATTTTAATGTTTCATTGTAATAAATATAAAAGGGAATATGCCATGAAGATAGTTTCCCTCTCCCTAACTTAAAAAAAAATTAATTTGGTTGTGCTGGGTCTTCTTAGTTGTAGCCAGTGGGCTCCTTAGTTGCGGCTCACTGGCTCCTTTAGTTGTGGCATGTGTGCTCCCTAGTTGCAGCCAGTGGGTTCCCTAGCTGCAGCAGGCAGGCTCCTCAGCTGAGGCTTGCCGCCTCCTTAGTTGTGGCATGTGAACTCCCAGCTGCGGCATGCATGCGGGACCTAGCTCCCCAACCAGGGAATGAACCTGGGCCCCCTGCATTGGGAGTGCAGAGTCTTAACCACTGCGCCACCAGGGAAGTCCCTCTTCCCAACTTTTATAGTTATTTCCTTAGGATAAATTCTTAGTAACAGAAATACTGTTTTAATGATTAAGTATTTTTATGACTCTTGATCAATATAATCAAATACTATCCCAAGAGCATTACACTAATTCATATTGACACACTGGATGCCTTTAAATATTCTACCTACATGTTTCCTTATTACAAAAGTAATTCATACTGAAAATACTAAAGAATATAAAGAAGGACGATAACCCTGAATTCCACTCCCCAGAGATAAGCATTTCGGTAAAATTCCTTTTGTACTGGATTATATTACCATGTCTGTCAATTTTATTTCTTTGCAATGTGTCCATTTTAAACTTGGTGATGTAGTTTACATTATTGGTCTATAACCATCTCTTTATAAATTAAGGACATTAACTTGTCCTTTTGGTTGAAAATACTTTCCCCCATTTTGTCATATGGATTTTTTTTTTTACATCTTTATTGGAGTATAATTGCTTTACAATGGAGTGCTAGTTTCTGCTTCATAACAAAGTGAATCAGTCTCACACACACATATGTGTCATATGGATTTTACTTTATTTGTTTACAAGTTTCTGACATAAGAGTCTAATATTTTAGATAATCAAGAATATTGGTACAACCCCTTGTAATTTCTTCTATTGATTTTATGCTCTGGAAATATTTCAACCAAGCTGAGTGAAATACATATATTTTCACCTAGGGTTCTTTTTTTTTTGATGGTTTTATTTTTACCAACAGATCCTTTAAATCTTTTAGGAATGTATGCTAATGTACAAAGTGATGAAAATTATTTTCATCCAAATATTCAATATTCACATTCTAGGGTCTGTTTTAGAGTTATCTATTCTGGTCTCTTTTATTGGTCTGTCAATTTGTATTATTTTAACTGTTGTGCCTTCACATGTTTTAATATATTGTTGTAAGGCAAATCCCCTGCCCTATCTTGCTCTTTATTTTCAACACTTCCTTTGCTACTTTTATCTACTTATTTATGTGTAATGATGACACAGGTAATCAAAAGATAAATTACTCAGTCAATTATCTGGCAGACATGTGGTTACAGGGAAGTGAGAACACAAGCATCTCTGTAAGTAACAGTTTTCTTAGAGAAGTAAAGTTGTGGTAACTACCAAGCAAAAACCTACAGTAGATACACAAAATATAAAGAGAAGGGAATCAAACTATAGCACTATGGAAAATCATCAATTCATTAAGGAAGACAGTAGGAAAGGAAGAACTGGGAACTATTGATCCAAAGCAGCTAGAAAACATGAAAAAGATGGCATTAGTAAGTCTTTAGCTGTTATAAATCACTCTAAATGTAAATGAATTAAATTCTTCAATCAAAAGGCATGAAGTGGCTAAGCAAATAAAAAAAGAACTAACTATATGCTGCCTATAGTAAGAGATTCATTTCAGTTTCATGGACATACATAGGGTCAAAATAAAGAAAAAGACATTCCACACAAGTAGAAACCAAGAGGGAGCAAGGGTAGCTATACTTGTATCAGACAAAATAGACCTTAACTCAAAAGCTCTAACAAGAGATAAAGAAGGCCACTACATAATGACAAAGGTGTCAATTCGTCAAGAAGATTTATAACAAGCATAAATATATATGCACTTGACATCAGAACCCTCAAATATATTAAGCAAATATTAACAGATCTGAAAGGAAAATAGACAACATAATAATAGTAGGGGACTTTAGTAGCCCACTTTCAACAATGGACAGATCATCCAGGCAGAAAATCAGTAAGGAAACCTTGGACGTGAACTATACTTTAGAACAAATGGATCTAACAGACGTATACAGGATATTCTGTCCAACAGCAAAAAAAATAAAAATACCATTCTCCTCAAGTGGACCTGGAACATTCTCCAGGACAGATTATGTGTTAGGTCACAAAATAAGTCTTAACAGGAAAAAAACTGGAAAATTCACAAATATACGGAAATTAAACAGTACACTCCTAAACAACCAAAGGGTCAAAGAAGAAATCAAAAGGGAAATTAGAAAAAAACCTTGAAGTAAATGAAAATGGAAATACCACACATCAAAACCTAACGGATGCAGCAAAAGCAGTTCTAATAGAGGCATTTATAGCAATAAACACTTACATTAAGAAAAAAGAAAAATCTCAAATGAACTTCACACCTCAAGAAACTAGAAAAAGAAGTTAAAGTAATTTTGGCTAACCTTACTTGTGAGAGCAGAATACTGAAACCCGGGGATCAAAGCAAACACAGTAAAAAAAACAGCTCAGTCTTAGAAGTTCTACGAAGACCTTTATTACATTTTCTCTACTGGTATGCTGCTTTTCCCTCTTGGTCCTTCCCCTTGGATTAGGGCTGTTAAGTACAGTTGATCCTTGAACAACACGGATTTGAACTGGTGGGGTCCACTTATACACAGATTTTTCTCAATAAATACATACCACACTACCACACCATATGTGGTTGGTTGAATACTCTGATGTGGAACAGTGGTTAAAGAGAATACTCTGATATGAAACAGTGGATAAACAGTGAATACTCTGATATGGAACAGTGGATAAAGATATGGAACAGTGGATAAAGAGGTTCAACCGTAAAGTTATAGGTGGATTTTCAACCACACGGGAGTCAGTGCTCCTAACCCCCAGTTGTTCAAGGGTCAACTGTATTCAGAATCGACAAACTAATCTGTGCTTTAGAGATCAGATGCCAAACTAGGTTTAAACATACTTAATTATGGTTAATTCTTTTTGGGGTAGAAAAAGCATACTAGAAGCCAAAAATCAAGAATCTTAAATGTATGTATAACTCAATCTTAGAACTTAGGATAGTAACAACATATGGCAATTAAGTACCTTATTCAAGGGTATGGCTCACAGGGTCAATTTTGAGTTTTATTCACAAGATGTAAAATGGTTCACAATCATAAGTCACTGATACAACGTAATAAATTACTAGCTTAAACTGTCATCTCCAAAAGATATCCTTGACAAATGACACATAAAGTAGTGGATCGTATGAATAGCTGGTTCTAGTAAATTCTCATTAAAACAATCATCATCAGAAAAAAGCAATGACAGCATTACTGAACCCAGAATGTTAGTTCCATGGGTTGGAATAATACAATTTCTCCAGACCTCAAGTTCTTTATATAAACTGGGTGTTGTATAAGATTTTCTTTAAGGTCCTTGTCAGCTCTGAGATTTTATTAAGTGAAGGGTTACTTTTCTTGCTTTGGGTATCAATTTTACTGTCACAGATTTGGTGTTAAAGATAATTTTTCTCTCTTGCAAAATCTGTTCAGACATTGTCCAAATTATACTGTAAGAGGTGACAGGACCCTGGTGTTAAGAAATAATTTATCATAAATCATTTGGAAAAGTGTATCTGGGTAAGAGTTAAGGGATTTTGCCAGATAAATTTATTATCATTTCCTCCCAAGCATGGTTAAGTGGTAATATGAGGCATAAGTCCTGAAGCAAAAAAAATTAGCTTTAAGGAGGAATTACCAAAGTATTGGGGAAAGTAAAATTTAAAGACCAATGTATATCATGGTTCAAAGCAAGCAATTTAAAATTCAGGTAACCTATATGAAATAAATGGTGAATTCTGTGTAACTCACACCATGGTTATTCTAGTTACAACTTACAAGAGATTCATAACTGCTGCAAGGAAACTATATTAAATGTTTAATTAACAACTCCTCTCATGTGTCAGTACAGAGAGAATGTTAGTGACTCAGCATTTGAATCTAATGATATATCTGTGTTCACTCTGAAGTCTGAATGTAACTAATTTTCAATTTTGAATCTAAACCACTTATAAAAGAATGCTTATGCTCCTCTTAGCCTTATTATATCTGATTCCAGCCAAAATCAATGTTTTAAGTCAACCAAGAGCAGCACTTTAGATAACTAGAGAAATACTCTGAAGAAAAAGACTTAATTGCATTGTTTTAGTACCTTGGGTCTTTTTCTGTGTAAAAACGTTCATTACGCCTGTTATCACCAAAAGTGGCTCGATATACATCATGACAGCGAAGGTTCCTCTGGAAGGTGTAGAATAAAACATCTTCATCTTCTTCATCCTTTACCCATTCTAAAAGAAAATAATTAAAGAATTATATATATCCACCTACTTACAGTTTAAAATAAAAAAGGCACAGTGCATTCTAATTTTGAGTGCCAAATAGAAGAGATGTGCAAGTTTATCCCTGGAAATCTAAATCTAACATAGGTTTGACTATGTCTAACCCTGTTATTTATAAGCCAGAGATATTTCCAGAGAATAAGATACTACTACATCAATTCTAAGTTTTCAAGTAGTTATTAGTCTCAGGGTACTCAAGTTTCTAAATAAGAGATGAATATTCAATATTTAAGAAAGACTTTGGTAAAGTCACATTTGCTTTCAGGAGATGAATTATGTTTAAATCTACAACCTCTAAATCTGAGGAAATTTTGGACCATTTTCTCTCATGCCTAAATTTTTCTGCCTGTTTTCAAGCCACAGCATATCTCAAACTACCAAATATGGTGTTTTCTAGATCTTACCAGAGGCTGTCAATGAAAGTTTTCACACAATTACATCATGACTGCCACCTGGCTGACAGTGACTGTAAGACATTATTGTATAGTATGCATTCTGATTTTAGAGACGTTAAAATGTACAAGAGGTATGCCTTAGAATGAATTAGATACGGTATAATTTCTATTCACTGCAAAAGCATTTAGTTATTAAACAATGGGGAAATTTATGGCAGAAAATAAAAAGGGAGGATAAAATATAAACATATATATCAGTGATAAATGATAAAATTTAAAGTTGGTTCTATTGGTAAAAATATCATAGCTTTTATTGAATAAGTTAGTTCATCGTGTTCCAGAGTTCCTTGGTAGTGACCCTGGGCAATGTGCTATAATGGCTTAACAAGATGATGTGAAATGAAAAAATCATACCCAAGCTTAAAGTTGAATAAAATATTAAGAGACAATTTATATGTGAAAATGTACTCTAAATAATAGCAAAGAATTACTGATATATTAACATATACTGTACAACCTGGACTCCGATTACAATACTTTTAAAAACATGAACATGAATTTGGATATTTAACTAAAGAAGGGAAGGTCTCCTGAATAAGAGGCACAGAGGAAGGTATGGAGTCCACAGGGATAAACGGATCAGGCATTCATCTTCTCATTCACTCACGTGAGCAAGTAAAAATGTCTGCAAAGTGTGGACAATTCTCTTTACTGTTGCCTTTTCAATGTAGAAGACTGTTTTGGTTGGTGGCTTACCAAAACTGGACACATTTGGGAAAGAAGCTTCCATTACAGGTTGATCACTGAGCTTCACAACTACACAGGTAGATGCTTCAGAATCTTCAGTTCTTATCTTGGCAGCTACATATTTTTCATCAGGAGCAACTCTGATACAATCAATGAAGGGTTGCTCTAATTTAAGTTCCTCCAAATTGAACAAAACTTCATAATTATCATTGTCTGCTGCATAAAGAAAAGGATAAAGGAGATAATTCCACAAAATATACTTCAAAAAATTTTAAAGGGTATTTCAATGTTTTAAACTAGCATTCCGCTTCTGTAAGAGGCTACATTTTGGCATCTTTGAACGCTAACAGCAGTTTGATGTGTACAGAAAATAGCATTAGTATTTAATACTACCCTATGCTATTCAATATTATTCAATGCATCAACCTATGTGATGTTACTTAATAGTTATAGTCTAATATTTGTAGACCATATAGAACCTAGAAAAGTAAGAAAACGTAAGTGACCCTGAATAGTCTATATAGTGCCTAGCACAGTATCCAGGATTTGGTAGATGCTCAAAAAATGCTGGTTCCCACCTCCATTCTCTCTGCCAAAGCTTTTGAATGTAGCTGTTAATTATATCTTAGGCAAACCCAGAAATTAAAAAACTACTCATTTAAAAAAAGAAAAAAATCAGAAATTGAAAACAGATATTTTCTATACCTTTGAAAAATCAATACCAAATTTCCAATGAAAAATGTGAAACCTGAAAAATCAGATATTTCTTAAAAGGAAAAACTGTTTTGTACCTTCTTCATCTTTGGAACGAACCAAACAGCAGCCCTCTTGATAATAAACAAAACCACCATGTTTAATCTGACAATGAAAAGCAACAAATGGTTTATTTAATTACAATTTATTCAAAAATTTAAAAACAATTTAAGTAATTGTTTAGTGATCTGACTAGTCAAGATGAAGAAATGAGATCTTTTATAAGCAAACGTGTTGCAGTCTACGAATGAACATATAAAAAATACAAAATGAATCACTTTTTACAACATAGTGATTAAGATATGGTTTTCATATGTTTACAATCAATCACTGGAGGAGTTTCTAATACATAAATGTAAGAGGCAACAAAGAGAAGGCATTAACGAAACCTACGTCAGTTATGACTGTACAATCCACTTTAGCTTTACTTCTGGAACATTTGACAATTAACAGAGATCAAGTGGCATCTTTAAGATAATCCAAAATGATGTAGATGTGGAAACTGTGACTTAGACTAGTCTGAAAACCCAGTCAATTACTTTCTGAGAGTCTTGCCTTTAAAATATGCTGTCACTGCCAATTGTCCACGGTTTGATCTGATTTTACACAAAGCATCTCACCCTCTGTGAGGGTGACAGATATAGACAATTTAAGATTGAAAGACTATTACCAATATATGAATCATGCTCTTGTCTAATTCCTACATATTAAATGCAACTGACTGATATGATTTCAGGTAGCTTAAGACAATTACTACTTGCTAGTTAGTGGCATAATTTGAATCTGGAATTCCTCATCCTTAACCTATTGCTATTTCCATTCTAGTATGTATGTAATTTTCATTCATAAGCTGTGGTTGTTTTCCAATCTTACTGAAAAATTTTCAACATGAACATGCATGTTCAATCTGTTTCAACGGAATATTTATGACTGTGGTAACCAGAAAACAGTCAAACAAATACTTGGATTTCACGGTATTATACTATTTAAAGTGAATTTTCTTTTATTAAAAAAAGTACAGATAGAACAATCAAATACTTTTCAAGTAATAAAACATTATGAGTTAGTTTCATTTGAACTTCTCCTTGGGAGTATTTAAAAAATTTAAAAACAGAATTGGTTTTTTCCAAAAACCAGAATTAACATTATATGCTTGGAAATTCATCTTGGCTTTGATCTTTATAATTTATTTAAAGGACCATACTCAGCTTACTCTTTGTTCTTTAAGATTTTCAGCATATTTTAAAGGCCAAAAGCAGTCTAATTTTGATGTGGGATTATGTTTATAAATCACAAGGTATTTTACTTGTATCCTGACTGGTAATATCAGATTTTAAAAAAAAGATATGATATCCTACCTCTGCATTGATGATTTCGTATTCTTCTTGTGGCTGTGTTTCTAATTTTGTTCTCACTTTTTCAAATGCATCCATGTTTTCTGAGAGGGATTTTTTGTTTTCTTGTTTAATAGGCAAAAATTCCTGGAAAAAGTTTTATCAGTATGATCATAATATTTCAACTAGGGAGAAAACCTTTGCTTTTTAAAGGTAATTCTTATTTCCTTTTCATTCAAGTACTACAACGTTAGGTCTATACCTATGAAATAATATGCATTTCACAGATCTTAAATGTTTCATAAGCTCAATAAATTATTTCCTCTTTTTCATTTAAAAATGTAAACAAGTAAGGTGGATACTTGATGACTATACTATTAATTCAAATGGCTAAGTCCTTAAGATGCAGTAGTACTAAGAAGCGCTGGAGAGTCTTCAGAAATACTATGAGAAAGCAGTAAAGGAAATCCTATGAACATTTACATATTTAATAGCCAGGTGTGAGAAGTAAAAGTCTACTGAGTTTTATAAAGTACTGAAATACCTCCTAAAAAGGGGAAAATATCAAAGGGAGAGGAAGACATTATCATTATTAATAAATGTTCACTATTATTTTATTCACAGCAAGAGTTATGATAAAAAGTTTTTCGTACTTTATATCTTCATTAGCCATAATTTTTCTTCTCATGGAGATAAGGAATCCTCCGCATAGAACTGTTTATTAGCTCAAAATGCAAATTAATGCTTTATAAAACAGAGCTTCTCTTTGAGGTTAAAAAATATATATACACTCATCTTCAAAAAGGAAAAATAATGGAAAATTAACAAGTAGAGATATAGGTGAAAGCTAAAATAAAGCACTCAGTGTCTTATTAGGAGTATCTAATAAGCTAACAGCTTAAGTAAGTTGATCTCTGGTGAGCATATAAATATCACATGAATTATTAAAATTTGGATAAGGCAAAACCTCAGTTGTCAAATTAAAAAAAGGGTTGAGGGGCTTCCCTGGTGGCGCAGTGGTTGAGAGTCTGCCTGCCAATACAGGGGACACGGGTTCGTGCCCCGGTCCGGGAAGATCCCACATGCCGCGGAGCGCTAGGCTCGTGAGCGGCCCACGTGGCCGCTGAGTCTGCACGTCCGGAGCCTGTGCTCCGCAACGGGAGAGGCCACAACAGTGGCCTTTTTGCTTACCGCAAAAAGAAGAAAAATAAATAATAAAGGGTTGAATAATTCAACACTCCACAGGTTTCCCTTGCTTAAGGAAAATAATTCTAGCCAAGATTTTAAATGTCAGCTTTCTGCCAAAGATGACAACTGTAGTGATTTGTGCCAGAACGAGCACTAAGCCTTTGGTTAGGACCTGCAACAGCTGGTAAATATTTATTGCACAAGGGTATCCATGATACTTTACCAACAGTGTAGAGAATGTAAGCTATAAATACAGTTTATATCACAAAGTGTTTACACAATCTAAAATTAAACACAAGAATAAAACAGAAAAATCACCAAAGCAAATTAAATGAAAAAATAATCATTCTCACGAAGTTTTTCAGAGTTTTTGAGATGCTTTATGATTTGGACTAGATTCACATTACCAAAAATGGCTACTACAGTAGTCTAAATCATTCAGTCTCTACTTCAATTGAAGTCTCTACTTCAACCATAAAATTAATATGATTGAGTAATGATTTGAAATTCAAATTCTAAAGGCTCATTTTTGTTTTTTTTAGTATTTCTACAAAATCTAGTGTTAACCTTTAGTGAGGCAAAATATCTATACCAATAATTTCCTATTATCAACCAAAGCACAAATCAGAAGATCGCTAGAAATCTATCTTGAAACTATAACTTAGTGGTAGAAGCTACCTTTTCATATCCAGTTATATGCTTATCTATTCTGTTAATTCCTATTAGAACTTTTGAAGTACAGTCAGGATGGCTATGAAGAGAGTATCTCTTTCTACTACCTTGCAGCTCCTAGCACACTGTAGGTGAGGAGCTGGGCTCTGTGGTACGCGGGCCTCTCACCGTTGTGGCCTCTCCCGTTGTGGAGCACAGGCTCCGGACACGCAGGCTCAGCGGCCATGGCTCACGGGCCTAGCTGCTCCGCGGCATGTGGGATCTTCCCGGACCGGGGCACGAACCCGTGTCCCCTGCATCGGCAGGCAGACTCTCAACCACTGTGCCACCAGGGAAGCCCGGCTCTGCCACTTTTAAACACCCATTCTTATTGAGAGCCATGGCCAATGCCAGGCTAAGGCAACAGAGCTGGGCCCAATATCTATCCTCCTAAACTTATTTTACACTCTTGATTAACTTTTTTCTGTGTCACAAATCCAAATAAATTGAGCTTACATGAACCAAAATAACCCTGAAAGCAATAGGATTTTTAACTGCCTTAATAAAATGGAAGTAGAATTCGAGAGTTTCGTAAATAATTCCTCAAAAGCAATTACTTCCAGGGAAACTGAGATTTTATATAATAATCATAAAGTACTCCAAATTGATTTTGGTTTAAGTTCTGTCCCCAAGAATACCCACTGGGTGTTTTAAGCTTTCATTTCAATGCCAGCTAGCATTACCATTAGGGTATGCAGCTAAACCTATCCATTTTAGCCAAGTATCTTAATGCAGGGGTTCCCAACCTCTGGGCTGCGAACTGGTACCTGTCTGTGGCCTGCTAGGAACCGGGCCATACAGCAGGAGGTGAGCGACAGACGAGCGAGCAAAGCTTCATCTGCTGCTCCCCATTGCTCGCATTAGCACCTGAACCATCCCCCCATCCCCCGTCCACGCAAAAATTGTCTTCCACAAAACTGGTCCCTGGTGCCAAAAAGATTGGGGAACACTGTCTTAATACATGAATAGACTATTGGTTTTAAGGGAATATAGTACCTAAAGGAGCTGAGGTGAGGAGAGCTTTAAATTTTAAGAAAGTTACATGTACAGTATCACTCAATTAGTGGAAAAATGAAGAATTCCTTCCCACCTTCTGGGTGGCCCACCACAAAACCATTTTACAACATAAACTCTTAAGACAAGAGAATGGAATATGTAAACTTCACATTTTATTAATTAATTTATTTTTTGGCTACACTGCGTGGCATGCAGGATCTTAGTTCCCCAACCAGGGATCAAACCTGTGTCCCCTACAGTGGAGGCGTGGAGTCAACCACTGGACTGCCAGGAAAGTCTCTGTAAACTTTATTATAGCAAATAATAATGAACTCTAAAAACAGAAAATAGCACAATAGAAGAACAGTGGGCAGCTTTTAGTCAAGATGGTGCCATTAATTAAAGGCTCATTCCAAGTCTGGGGCAGGGAGAGTAAAAAGTAGGTTTAGGTCATTTTGTGTCAGAAAGCAAGAAGTGTTCAAAGGTTCATGGAGATGTGTCAAAAGAACACAAAGGCCAGTTTAAAGGGGCTCCTACTAGCCACATTTGGGACAGTTTGAGCATCAAAAACAATAATGACTGTAACTGATTATAATAAACTGAAAAAAATAAAAACAGTAATTTAAAAAGAAGCAAAAAACAAAACACACACCTAACTAAAATAAAAAAAATAAAAAGAGGGTACAAAAAAGGGGGAAACTCTTCTTAACAGAATACTACCACCTAATAAATGTAGAAAGAATAATAGAAATAGAAAATCATTAGCAACCCCCAGTGAAACAAATGATTAGGGTAAAGATCATCCTTGGTTATTAAACTCATTAGATGAAGTGATGTCAGGTAATAAAATATTTGCACAAAGTATTACCTTAAGTCTACTTAGTAACTGCAAAGGCAATAATGGCCTGTTAACAATGGAGAGAACTAGCAGTTATCACCTTAACTGAAATTGTCAAGCTTAGCACCATTAATAATGGGACAAGGGGCTTCCCTGGTGGCGCAGTGGTTGGGGGTCCGCCTGCCGATGCAGGGGACACGGGTTCGCGCCCGGTCGGGGAGGATCCCACATGCCGCGGAGCGGCTGGGCCCGTGAGCCACGGCCGCTGGGCCTGCGCGTCCGGAGCCTGTGCTTCGCAGCGGGAGGGGCCGCAGCGGTGAGAGGCCCGCGTACCATAAAAAAAAAAAAAAAAAAAATTGGGACAAGCTGAGATTATGTGTCTTCCTGAAATAATGTTAATATGAAACATTTCAATTTAAGACAGAAAAAGAGAAGAGTAAACCTAAAGGAACTAGAAGAAAGGAAATAAAATTAATTTGTTTCAATTAAGTTGATACAGTAACTAATGAGAAGACCAACAAAACAAAAAAGTTGGTTCTTTTAAAAAATGTACTAAGGGGCTTCCCTGGTGGCACAGTGGTTGAAGAGTCCGCCTGCTGATGCAGGGGACGTGGGCTCATGCCCCAGTCTGGGAGGATCCCACATGCCGCGGAGCGGCTGGGCCCATGAGCCATGGCCACTGAGCCTGTGCGTCCGGAGACTGTGCTCCGCAACGGGAGAGGCCACAACAGTGAGAGGCCTGTATACCGCCAAAAAAAAAAAAAAAAGTACTAAGAAAGACATGTATAGCAAAACTGATTAAAAAAAAACATTACAAGTGAAAAAGTTGGCATAATTACAGATATAGTAAAGATTATTAAAACTTACAATAACATTCTTTATGCTAATATATTTGAAAACATGATAGAATGGATAATATTCCAGAAAATAAATTACCAAAACCAACTAAAAAAAAAAAGAAAAGCTGTATAAGCTAATAAATATCAAAGAAATTGATAACTAAGTGTTCCCTTCTTAAAAGAGACACAAAACCCAGATACTTTCAAAGGTAGCTTTCTCTAATCCTCAAGGAAAAGATAATCTCATATGTCAACTGTTTAAGAAAAAAATGCCAACTATTTAAAACTACTCAACTTATTTTAACAGGCTACTATAACCCTGACACTAAAACTAGACAGTAACAATATTAGACAATTAAAAACCAATCTTACTGTAAAATATGGATTGAAAAAACTAAAATAAAATTCATAAATCAATGTATTTTTAAAAAGCACAAAATAAAAACAATAATAGTAACAATAAAATCCTATGTGACCAAGTAGGATTTACCTTAAGAATGAAAGGATGGTTCAATGTTAGAAAAATCCATCAATCACAAATAAAGGAAATAAATCTTAGGCCCATTTCCACTAAT